TGTATCAAATGCTTTTTGAAAATCCATATAGATACAATCGATTGAGTGTCCATTATCCATATGATCAGTCTACTCATCCAAAACTTTCAGTAGTTTCAGTGACGTAGACCTGCCAGACATTAATCCGAACTGTTTCTGTGAGACAAAATAGTTTTGTTTCATATAATCAGTGATGTGACTTCTTATTAAAGATTCAAGTACTTTGCACAAAATCGAAGTTAAGCTCACAGGTCTGTAATTCCCTGGTTCGCATTTGTCCCCCTCAAGCGTCATTAAGAATTAAATAGTGATAATAATAATAATAATTCATGATCAGTCAGACATCAATTCTGTATGCTAATATGAATACCTTTTCTGTGCTTGTGTAGATGCTGCAGAGGTTAAAGATTGTGCTGCTGGTGTTGTTGTATCCTCAGCATCATTAGCAAACAACTGGTCAGGAGTTTGTCAAGTAACTGTCCTGATCGCATTTGCTTATCCTTTGCTATTTCTTGTGATGTAAAACTGCTTTTATCAGCTGTATTTATAGGTAAAGAAAATACATGTAAAAGTACAATTCTGTAATAGGTCATAGTCTTGCTCACTTATTGTGCACAATTCAAATCATATGTATTGTTCTAATTATCACTGTGTATCAATATAAAACTGATACAAATTCATTTTTGAAATTTTTTGCACTCGTGTATTTATACTTAAACTTGTCTTCTTATTGAAAGTAATATTTGCATGAACATACAAACAGCTGGTCAGCTTCGAATAAGCTTAACATTCACATAAACAACCTGATGCTAGTCCTTTAAAGGATGACAAACGCTCTGGCGTGTTTATAGGTATGTCAAATGGCGCAATACCTTCCAAAGATTCTACACCGTGGAATTTTGTTTTGTTTTGTTCAGTATCAGAAGTAAATTATGCTATATTAGAACAGGCGACCACTCCCACACGACTTCTTTGTTGCCAAAGACGCTGTAATGGTAGCAAACGACAATTCACTCGTGTGTTGAAATGAAATGATAATGACGCATTATCTAGACTTATCCTGGTTAAGATGAAAAACAAAGCAAAATTTCAGAAGTTATATTACTATGGATAAATGCTGAAAATGAAATAATCAGCCTATGAAATGATAATCGATTCGTCGCATGTATATTTGTTATACGATATAATTATATCTTGGTAACATTCTAACAATTTCATGGTAACAACATAGGTTGAATATTTGTTATTTCAAGTCCTTGAGATAGGAAGGCAAACTGAGAAAGAATGTTCCTATACAATACAAGTCATTAATACCTGTCAAATGTAAGTTAGTGATCGGTAATACTTGTCCATTTCTTTTTCAAATCATTTCCATTTTGAACATTAAAGAACATACCATCAATCTATGTAAAAACAGACTCCACCAGTGACTCCAATATATGATTCGGTGTCCAGTATGGCATCAACAGTTCTCTCTGCAACGCCCTGTGCAGCAGACGGAGACCTGCCTCCAGTCGTTCCAGACGATGTGAGGATGAATTCATCCTTCGCACTGATTTGATTTGTAGCCATGTTTTGAGGAAATACTAAGTGCATTGTGGGAAAAGCTTGTGACACTTACTGTCGCTAGTGGTAGCTTTTCTGGTTAAATTATCAGCTTTTTGTGTTAGTGAAATATCTGTGAACAATAAGATTTAGTACAGTCATTTACTAACACGTGATGAGATGTTTAAGACTCGTTTCATTTAACGATGTCGTTAGTTAAACGGAAGTTCTGAACAACCGGGCCAAGGATGCAAAATATTAATCAAAATATAATTATTCAAAAACAAGGAAATATTTGCCAAAGAAGTAATCCCAAAGAGGAAAAAGGAAACAAGAATATGTTCTCGCTGAAACATAAAACCTCTTGAGTAATTAGAGTGTCATTATCTATTTGTTTGATTTATTTGAAGGATTCTCAACAAACTTCGCACACATTTTGAAAGCTTCAAAATAACTTACACAGGTTCGAGTTTCAAAAACGTTGTGTCAAGGTCAAGGCCACTATGATATTTTTAGAAAATCATTGTCAGAGTTCTAGCAGCGCCTTTCTTTGAGGGATTCTTCTCAATCTTCCAACAAACAATTTTAAAGTACTAAAATATCTTTGGCAAGTTCGAGGTGCAAGGATGTTAAGTCAATGTCAGGGTCACTGTTACTGTTTTTTAAATTGTTGTCAGCGCTCTGGCGGTTTTAATTTCATGGAGGATTTTCATCAAACTTCACATATTTTAAAAAGACTGAACTATCATCAAACAAACTCAAGTTTGAGGGTTGTTAGATCAAGATTAAGGCCAATTTGTTTTTACAAATCATGTTCAGCGTTCTGAGGCATGATACCTTAAACCTCACACATTTTCAAACGACCAAAACACATTTAACACATTGGGGAAATTGTATTGTCAGATTGTCATATGTTTTGCATTGTTATATGATCAGTTATAACGAATTGTGAACTTTTCGTTTATTCCATATTTGCGCCAAACAACACCATCTTTTATAAATCATCATATCTTGTGGGGAAAGGGGGTAGCGGACATTATTGCTTTATAATGCACAATATGCTCGTTGCAGATAAATGTTACAGTGTTGTTCATGTAACGTAGTAATTTGATATCAAATATTCCACTTACCTGGATATGTCGTTGTGTTAGGTTTCTAGTGGTATAAAATGCTACGTTAAAACCGCCGATGTCCATTTCGAGAAACTTGGCAATAATCATAAGTTACTGCTTAAGCAAAATTCAACTTATAAAATTATAATATTGGAAAAACATATTATGTCAACATTCAACTTATAAAATTATAATATTGGAAAAACAAATTATGTCAACATTCAACTTATAAAATTATAATATTGGAAAAACATATTATGTCAACATTCAACTTATAAAATTATAATATTGGAAAAACATATTATGTCAACATTCAACTTATAAAATTATAATATTGGAAAAACATATTATGTCAACATTCAACTTATAAAATTATAATATTGGAAAAACATATTATGTCAACATTCAACTTATAAAATTGTAATATTGGAAAAACATATTATGTCAACATTCAACTTCAGTATAAGATAATGATATCAAAAAACATATTCTTCCATGTTCTATTGGAAGGCATACAAAATTTCCTTGAGAAAACTTATAATATTTACATTGATATTTTAGAATGAAATCTTACTCATCATACTGTAGTCCTATATATATCAAAATTTGTGGTTTTCCAAAAATATTTTTTCGTTGGGGTGCGATTTTGAGGATAAATCTTACTCATAAATTGCACTAGTAGTATAATCTATGTCAACGTTGTCTGTTTAACAATTAATAGACATAATGAATTGTGAATTTAGAATATGAATTAAACGAAATAAATCTCCTACGAAAAGTAACGATTTTAATGTAAAACGTTTGCCGAAGGGTGTTGACGTGTTGACTTTCAGTATACGTTTTTGAAAATCGACACCACAGAGATGAAATTAACCAGGCGTTTGTACAAGATATGTATTCAACGTCTTTGAAATGTACACATTGATATAAACACCAGTACCATCTGACACGATAATAAAAATAAAAATCATAATCACAGCATACTTTTCGAAACTTACAGGTTTCATTCATTTCATTCATCAGTCCAATCGATGAAGCATTCAAAGATTTGTCATTGCAGTCTCCTGTTCCTTTAGAACAAGAAAAAAATATGCATCGATAAGACACGTCGGGAAGGCACTTAGACTTGAGTTCATTTCATAACATAAACAGGATGAGCAAATTTCCAGTATTTTTAGATTGTGGAGTCTATTTTAAATGCAACTCATTAGACAGATTTTCAATGCTGTGAATTTGTTAGTACCTGAAAGCTGTGTCCAATGATCCAATGATATGGAAACATCACATATTGTGCAGTTGTCTCCACTCTTCACTTCACCATCAGCAAGACACACACCATCGATAAGACAATGACCTTTAAATCAATTAGATACATATATAATGCTTGATCTTTTGAACCACTACATTATTTTCGGTATAAATTCCCTATTTGGCTTTTCCAACAAAATTGATGTTTACACTTCGGTAAACATCAAGTCAAGCCTGGAGTAGGAAGCCATGCTTTCGTACAATTGCATTAAAAAGTAGTGTGATTGTGTTTTCTTCCTTTCTTTTTCTTTTAAATGTATCTGTTTGTGGTACTGTTTCCTGTTTACTTCCTGTTGATGACAAAAGAATCCCATGTGTTTGGAACCAGCTGTTTTCCTATTCTCTCAGTTGTCGGAGAGTTCCGTCAGAGTGTATAACGTCCAATGAACTACGATTATTGTAATGGTTTCCGTTTCAGAAAAGTCATAACTCAGCGTGTGGAATGAATACAGTAGTATATGTATGATGCCAATGTTAATTATGCTAATACTGAGATATAAGACAAATGAATTATAATTGATATAAAGATATCGCACTCATTTACATATCTGAATAATGCAATTACCTTGATTTTGGCTCCATTTGAATGTAGCATCCACACCAGTTGTATTACATATGCGGCATGGATCTGATCGATGTGTAACTCCTTCTGGTACGCAGAAACCATCGATGAAGCAAAATTTGTCCTGGATAAAAATGATACATGTATGCGGAGCGCATTTATGCCAAAAGTTAATAAAATATGAGAGACAATCCTTAACAAAATAGGGAAAAATTATGCTGAAGATAACAAAAACCAAATCCTTCAAAAAAGAAAAAGGTACCATTTATACATATGTACATTGTATTCATCACGTCATGTGTTGATCTTTCTGATGTATTCTGTACACTGAACGCTATACACTTTACCGGTATACAGTTCAAAAATCAAGATTTTTCTTATCACAAATGAGGTTTCATGACGTCCAGTTTTATCAGTCGATTCAGCGGTTAATGATTAAAAGTGCATAGCTTCATAAAGCAAGACGTAATACTATCGTCAACAGAGAGTTTTATTCATACTTTCATTTCCACCGTGGTTGTGTTGTTTCGCATCGCATTCTGGCAAACTCCGTGGTAAACAATCAGGTCTGAGGCCTGTCCGAAATTCTGCCCGTCGTTACTGACCCCTACTGACCATTTGTAAGCAAAGTGGTGCTTATCCGAACGTTTCACCTTAGTCGGAATTGGACAAAATACCTCAACAAAAGTGTTGAATTGTGCATTTGTTGTTAGGAGATTTAGTAGCGTTTCTTTGCCATCAGGGTTTATCTAGAAGTGAAAAGGAAAACAATAAGAAGGGGTTGACCCTAAAAATTTGTTAGTATAGTCCCGGTACAGAAATATGCTAACTTGTCCAAAATCGGCTCACTTCAGGAAACACTGATGATGCTGTGATCCTTGTTAATACTAATGAGTTGTTTTTTTTCGAAGTATTTAGTCTCTGAATTGATAACATCACAAAAAAGCAAAAGTTAATATGTTGAGTCTTAATGACCATGTCTCACCCCTTAATGGTCAACGATATTCTACACAGGGTACAACCGTTTCTGAGAAATATCATTATACTCACTTCATATAGAGTATTATGGCATGTAAGGTTTTTGGTATCGATGAACTTTTCTCCTTCAACGATGGCTACGTGGCACGTGTTCAGATCACACGTACTGTTCGTGTCGAGGTTGATACCATATATGTGTGGAGGTATTCGAATATCAATAGAACAGTCAGCAGCTCCGAAATATGTATCGCACGTGCAGGTACCTACGAAAATATAGTTATGTCAGTTTGCAATATTAATGATAATTTTACAGCGATAAACGATATAGTGTGAGGAACTGTCAACTTTAAAGGTTATTTAAACACTACTGTATTGTGTTGCATACATTTTAATTTTTCAATTTAGGATTTTATACAGAAATGAAAAGAAAACAGATTTCATAAATGTCTATTGCTTCACAATTGTTTGAAGTAACTTGTTTTTCGCTAACTTAATTATGAACACATCTAATCACATTCTCGTACCATTTTCACAGTGTCCATGTCCACTACATTCGTTGGGACATGTGATTTCCTTGATTTGCTGAGCAATAGATGGCTGATCAGCCGAATCTGCCTTATGATACGTTGTGTTCTGTTTCAGTTCTTTCAGACAGACAGACTTTAGGGATTCCCTCGCGGAGGTAGCCCACATGGTTGTTTGTGTCACCTACATATGACGAACAAAAAGATAAGACAATATAATGGTTAGGTTTCCTTGATAAAAGACAAATTATCAAAACCAGACTTCTTGACGCTGTGAAAACCAGGTACTTATTTGTTTAGTAATGTTACTTTTCAATTTCCGTTTCACAACACAGAAGCTAGAATTTGGCAATGCCGTATCACCTACCATAATATCAAGCACACATGTGTCGACAGAATTGGACGGGTCTGTTGCTGGGACTTGTTTGGCACAGGTTTCAAATGATGTTGAACCTCGCAGAAATTTTTCACAGTAATCTGTTGCTGTGGTAGTATTCCATATTTGTAGTGGCATGGTCACCTATAAACAAGTTGGTCACAATTAAATGCAGTTCATAGACCTCTCAGAGAATTAACTAATAATATTAAAGATCGTATAAAAGACACGCAAGTGAATAACACCTTTTAATAATTTAGAGTTAGATACAGAAAGCAAAAGCCAAACAATGAAGTCAACTGCATCGTTCAGCTGTTTCGCCTTTCTTAAACTCGTCAGTGATGTTAAGGGTTTACATTTTGAGGCCTAAGAGGCCAACAATGACTATACAAATTGATCGAAAGAACAGCCAAAGTTTAGACGGGGAAGTGCAATGGATAAAAGTGATAAAAAATCGCTAAAAAGATCTTTCGTGTGAGTATTTCTTATTCATTTTGTAAATATTAATCCAATACAGTTAAATATAACGCGGGCTTTCATTTTTATCATCAATAAGCTTTTGCATAAATAGCATTTTTGCGTGCCTTCTACATCACTTACTATGGGTTGTTCTGTTGTGTTCGTTATCACAGAGATGGGGCGTAAAGACCTTGACCTCCTGTTCCGACATCGGTTCTGTTTCACTACGGGAGATTCGTCATCCCTAACACACGTTGCTATAGCATCATGTGTACAGGAAATGTTGTGTGACGGTCCATTACATGTACAGAACTGTATATTTTCGGTTCTGTTCCAGATGGTCAATTTTTGAAGAGCGTCAGCAGACATCGTAATGAGATTTTCATCCTGGTCATTAACACTAGGAAAACAAAGAGTAATCATCTGTATTTGAGAAAATCATGAATGTCATTTCGTCGTATTGGTTGTATACGCTCAACGTTTATTACGTCATATTAATGTTAACTTTCATATCTACATCTCGGAAAAAATCAACACGTTCATGCCATGAATCCTTATTTACCTCCATGATTGGGAGAAGATATTATTATCTCCCGTAATTTGTCCATCTGGTTGAGTAAAGTCATCGTCCGTTCGTCCGTTGAGTGTCCCACATAACCCGCGTGTATGAAAAGTGTCGGTCGCAGACGGATACATATGTAAGTCCATCACGTCTTTACCAGTGTAATGCCAAAGGTAAGCACTCAGGTAGGTACCACTTGGCAAGTATATCTAGAACAGGAATAAAGGAAGACTAACAATTACACAAAAATACTCATATTTGGGTGCTGATATGATATCCATTTTATTGACTTCAACGTGATCTTTGTAACGGTATCAGATAGCAAACAATTATGGGAAAATATCGCAATTTGTTTATTATAATTACTGTTGAATATCATAGTCAATGATAGAAGAAATAAACTGATCAAGAATTAGTACAGGAAAAATGACCATGTTAAATCTTTAGTTTTGTCGTCTCGCCTACGACAAAAGGTCGCAGAAGCAAGACCACGATGTTCCTCTTTAGTGCCGACGATTGTGTCAACGTTTCACAGTTGGTGACCAGATGCGATCGCCTTTTATCCGGCGACATGCATCTTCGTGCATTTTCGAGTTCTTCTGGAAACCCCTGAACTGATTTTGTAGGAATATTCTATGAAATAAGATTGTCACTTATACGGTCCCCGCCCACCAAAAGACCTGAAAAGCAAGGAAGAAAGTTTTGGATTTATTGAAATTTCAAAAATCTTCTATTCTATACCCATGCTTTTTAGAATAAATTGTTCTTCACGGATGGAAAGGTCTTAACTAATTTACCAAAATTGTAAATGTTCCCCTTGTAAAGAGGTAAAGTTTGCTATAGTCTACACAGGAAAAAATATTTTGATATCATTAATTTCCTATCGGAAATTGGTTGGGTTTTTTGCCATAGGGCGACAGTTTGATTATATTACATATGTTAACCTCGGCTGGCCCCAAGGTCTGAGGGGCAGCGCAAAAATGGATCAATGTAACTCAAAAATGTTAACTCAATCAAAACTCTTTTCCTCAGTACCAAAATAAGTTAGAAACAAATACAAGATTGATTGAGTCTTAAGGTGCTTTACAAAAAATGGTAAATTTCATGACCCAAGGGTCATTTGGAAATTACATTTTTGAACATAGTTTGTTTATTTTCGATTGGAAATTGTTAGTTAGGATCATTAGTATAAGATGACAGTTTGATGATATGCATATATTAATCCTGGCCGACACTGGCTGATGGCAAGTCCAAGACGGGTCAAAGTGACTCAAATATCGTCTCAATACCGAGATACGATTAGATCTAGTAGATACAATTGATGGATGGAAGAGTTTATATAGGAAAATAAAAATTTTGATTGCAATTTCTTTTAATTCAAACGTGGAATGTCAGCTAATACTTTCTTTAAATAAGTGTATCTCTGACATGTTACATGAAGAACGACATAATTGCAACTTTAGTGAACGTTAAGTTTCTTGGACTTTTGGTGCATTTTTGCGTTTACATCCTTCGCTTAACTTCAACTAGACTTCGTGTATAGATAGATCTTGAACACCTCATTACATTCTTTATCCACAAAATCTCTTTCAGATTTTACGGCGGAAACACTGAAAATAAGGGATGCTGAGATTATTAAGTCTTTGGCTTGTTTTATTTACATCCGATTTAGTTTATAGTCATATTGAAACAAGTGATGTAATTCATCAGATGGGTGTTCCTCTGTGTCTTTGGTACAAATGATTGGTTAGTAAAGATTCCATAATCGATAGAAATTTGAAAAAGGAAGAACTAACTATTAATTTTATTTTAGTCTTAGAGCTTTTCCTTTACGAAAAAACGAAGGATTCGGGCGCCAAATTAGGAAAATTACTTATTATGTGATATCTTTTTCGTCAAATGATGAGAACTCGTTCTTGGACCATAAAAATATATTTGTAAGAACATAATAGAAAAAATCAACAAAACATATCTGAAAAGAATTGCAGTCATTAAAACAGAAGTAATTATCTTAATTTACTTTGTACATATGTTCGTTGATTTTCCTCACATCCAGGAGGTGATCTTCACATGAGCGGAACTCAAAGACCGGGCGGTATTTCCCTGGACACCGGTCAATGACGAAAACATCACCGCCTGCACGTACAGCAATACCGCACACACAGAAAGCGTGAGCCGGGGGATTACATGGCGTTACTTTCATTTGTACCTTCAACAAAACATTGAACGAGAATGTAGAAGACCAATATGATGATGTGTATACATTCAGCGTATATTGTTAAAGCTATAGCTATTCTTCTTTGATAGCGTGCTATATCACACATTCTTCCATTTGTGTTCACAATGTATTCATCAAGATTAAATTTGAATTATATATTGCAAGCTCTAATTGTAACGGAAACCGTTGCATAAGTCCCCCAAAACTTCCCCTACTAGCAATATACTAATACTAACTGAAGTAGGAAATAAGCTTATGCTATCCACACTAGATCATGATACCTGACCTTGTAGATCAAAGAGCGGTCATGCATGACTCGGCATGACAGAGGACACAGACAATAGATAGCTGATACACCGAAAGAGTGATCTATCGCCATTAACAATGTCAAAGTATCAACGTTAAAACATTCTTAGCGGCCATGCTTATTGTGCATTAAAAATGATTTCACCGTTGTGTTCATAATACGAGACACAACCAATGATTTAATGTTCATTAAATTTAGAGAACATTTAAAATTCACTTTCTGCGGTCATCATGCATTTTGGAAAATAATGTCTCAAACAAAACTCGACATGGTCATCAATATTCCCACCAAATTTCATTTCAATCGGGCAATTTTTTTTTGTTTTTTTTTTTTTGTTTTTTTTTTTGTTTTTTTGTTTTTTGTTTTTTTTTTGTTTTTTTGCAGTTACAGCTTGTTATATTTTAGTCAATCAATGACTCTCACCGCATTATTCGATATTCATTAAAAAGATAACCAAAACACATCTCTCGTTTTTCGAGAATTGTGTCGGACAAATTGAGACGCAAGAAGAAGAAGATGAAGTAGAAGAAGAAAGCAGGAAGAAAAAGAAAGGGGGTAAAAAGTGCTACCCTTTTTTTAGACTTAATTATAAAAATAGTATGTATCCATTACGTGGTAATCAGAAAAAGGACATTGTTTAAGTCATAGTTTGAAAACGCCGACTACATGTTTATAACATCGACTGTTATTAATATACCTGGACTTTTCTACTAGCGTCATCATTTTCATACAGGATAAAAGTGCCAGCGTTTTGATTTTCAAAGGACCTGAAAAGAAAACAAATTAGTTTTACTGCATAATGATTCATTGATTTAGAATTCATCATCAATACTTTATATCCATATCATACAAATAAATGATAACTTTCTTGTTCTTGTCGATCACTCGGTGATAAACAAAACTGAGGTTATCAGTACAGAAGATAGCGTGCAAAGATTACTACTTATGTCTTTATCATATATACTATTAAATTTACCTGCCATCGAAAGTTTTCATGTGAGGATCACTAACAGCATGACATTCTTTTCCTTTCCAAAGTTGTGTGTTATCGTCCATTATAACCTATGGTAAGTCAGATCCCACACAAATGAATAAAAACAAACATGTTTCACGGTTTTGTTTAGAAACGATACTTCAGATTCATTTGAACATATGCCAAAACATTGAGGATAAAATGCACATGAAAGGTGGGAAGGTGTAAACTTTACACATGGATTTGATATTCTTATAAGTTCAATCGGTAGGACAATTTACGGAATTCGTTTAATAACAGAGCAAACACTTACCCAATGCCTAATCTACACCTTTCATTTGAATAGCATATATCATTTTTGTGACTCGCCTTACATTTGTCGGGCTCTGGCACAATGAAGTGTAGCAGGATGATGCTTCTGAAGAGGGCAGTTAAATTCTTTATTTGACATATTAAATGTGTACTGAATTGTGTGAAATGCTTGCGTTTATTTTGTAAGATTTCTATAGTTCTACTTACGGTAACATCATCGAGAACGACTTCACTCCAGATAGGATTGTAGTTGTTGACAGCTGTACGAAGACTGACTCTATAGCTGTCTGGATGTCCGCTGTACGTCTGATCGTCCAACCAAGCGATGTAGATCTTATGTTCTTGATCCCACTCGTCATGGCGGATATGTGTGCCACATGTCTGGGCCCCAACAGGTAGAACAGCTCCAACACTGCCCCTGTTAGTGAAGTTTGTAAAATGCAGGTATCGGTTCACTTTAATACCCGTTACGATCCTTCATTAATGGCAGTGTTATAATGACCCCACTTTCCAATACCGTATTTGAAATCTTATGGCTAACTTCATTTGACGTAGACGTTTTTGTTAGGTTTTTTATCTGTACAATCAGCTGGTTGCTTTTAAAACAATTATGTAGTAATCATCAAATCTGAAAAAATTGTACCTTCCATGATCTTTTCAGATACTTTGGATACTGTAACTTAATGTTTTTGCATTATAAGTCGCCTGTTCATTCTATTGTTCATAGTCAACGATGTAATTAGTTGATGCGGAAAGCTTAAATGATTTTTCAGTGTCCAATATCCTAATGATTTAATATCAAAAATATATCTGGAAACTAAAGATCTTTAAAGTTTACTTGTAAACGATTGATTTGCCAAATCTGACATCTCGTTTTGGAAACACTTTTATTTTGTAACGTTACACTTTACTTTTGACGACTGAAGAACACGAGAATATAGGTATTTGCACAATGCCATCATGGAATACTCGCAGCTCATTGATATTATGGGAGCTGGTGTTTTACCTGCATTTATACGTTTCTGGAAGAATGAGTTCTACTACCACTTCACATCCATCTTGAAAAAACTTTGGACAGCCAATAGGTACGGTAGGTTTCAAGACAATATACGTCGTTGGTTTATCTCTATACAAGGTGACTGAAGGTGTAGACTGGATAACAATAAAAAATGCAAAATCGATATTGCACAAACATATTTGTTGACAAAAGACAATGAACTGAAACTACTCTTCTCGTCCGTGGTCCTTTTTGTCCGTACGCAATTCTTTCTTATGCTAGTTGTTAATAGATATTGGATGGATCTTTCTGAAAGATGTATACCGTTTAATGATGCTTGAGCGCCTAAACTTGTTCACCGCTATAGTTGCTCTGAAAAGACTGCATCTTTATCATTTATTTCATAAATATAGTACGTACTAATATGCCTGCGTAGAAGGGTTCACTTGTAGGTGACATAAGCCCAAAAGCACCATCTGGTTGTAATCGTGCTCGAACAGAGCAGGCAACCTGTAATGTCAAGTTAATTTGCAACATTTGCTGAAAGATATTTCATATAAAAATATCGGATAGTTGATATGGAACACATGCAATGGAAGTTATCACGAGGAGGGACTCATTTTAGACGAAGGCTATTGTATATCTATTATTGGGCAAGAATGCAGTAAATATCAAACTATTGTGATGCTACATCATACTGCTGTCTCCTCCTTTAAGGACTCCTCAGTGATGCTACATCATACAGCTGTTTCGTCCTTCTAGGACTCATCAGTGATACTACATCATCAACTGTTTCGTCCTTCTAGGACTCGTCAGTGATACTACATCATACTTACATCCGAGATTTTTGATATATTGACGAGAGTTACCTCTTTTTTATTCCGTTACACGATATTCAAACATGGGAAAGAAGTTGTCCGCATTCGACAACTCCTATTGTCAAAACTTAATATTTTTTCTTGTTTTCCTTAGATTAGAATTTTAAACAAATATCTTTTTTCACTTTATTCAATACTTATGATATATTGCAAATAATTGTTTGTATTGTATGTGACAAATGATTCAAATCGATGGTTTCCTACTGTTATATACAATAGTTTCTTTTAGATATGCCCATGCACGATTTGGAAAAAGGAGAAACATTTAAGTAATTCAAAAAGATTTACGTTGACACCAAGCCTTTCCAGTTGACCTGGTCCTTCCTCTAAAACCAATCTGTCTGTGCCCGTCTTGTTAGCCCTCTTGGTCTCGTTGATAGCCTCCCCGTCAATATACCATACAACTTCGTAGACGAGGTCCTCATCCAATAATGTGAAATCGCATACGAATTGTAGGCTTTGCATATTTACGTTAAATAAAGGACTTAGTTTGTCGACGATTGAAACATTCACCACAGGTTTGTGTATGTTATACGTTGGCGGCAAATCTTTCGATAAAAAAACAAACATAACGTTAGCATTTTATGTTACTTGAATGCAATTCGTGTTTAAATAATATTACGACTTACTATGTACATGTATATAGGGATGTTTTTGCAATTTTTGTGAAAATCCTCATAATGTGTATTTTTGCTTATTTCATGTTTTTTGTTATTGCGTTGTCGCAGAAATTTGAAAGAAAATAAATCATATCATCACTTAACTTTATTTGTTTATTTGTACATATATATGCTAATGCATTATAACTGATGCACTCATCAGTGTTAAAAACAGCAGATGAACAAGTTACGTTCCCTATTCACAATCTCAGTCCCATGCCTTGCGATTTCTGCTTTTACCAATTCATACTACAATATCTGGATTGTTTTTCATATGAGCGTACATTTGTACAATTCATTTGGTTTTGACCGGTTAACAGTTTAAACGATAAATCCACTTTGGTTGGGTTTTTTTTAATCGCCGTCTAAAACGAGTGATGAAGTGACGCAACGCGACGTGCATACTATTATTGCAATATTTTTTATTGTCTATAATTGTTGAAAACCAAGACGCCAAAGTAACTTTCGAGTATTGCATAGAGAGACTAGAATGGCAGAATACGATAACAACGTCCTTGTATTTCTAGAAATCACAAGCCCCAAGGCATACTCGTTACTGCGAAAAATCGTAATAGGAGAACGTGTCAATTGCTTAAACAGTGCGGTAAAGAAGAGGAGAAACAGTCAATGGTTATGTGGTCAGGATCAAGAAAATGACGGTAGAGTGTGATTTCGAGCATTCATTGACGAAGAGTTAATAGATCAACTTATATTTGTCTAAAAAAGTGAAACGATTCTAAAGAAGTAATTTTTTTGAGAAAAACCTAACATTACAAGGTGTCATAGAGCACAGACTGTTAAAAATAACAATGAAATTGATACGGGTAGTATGAACTTAACGGGTTGGGGAATAGTCAGTCGAAGGAATCTTTCTAGGGTCAAAAAGACATGAGAGGCTCGATATGGTCTTTTGAAAATTCGATTCCTAGTTTTGTAAGTGAAAGAAAGGTGTTGTCAAGTTGTGCTTCACTAACCGTTTGAATATTCGGCCAGAACTATATAGAGGTGAATTTCTACCAAAAATCGCGGTCCTCTGTAGAGCCTTAATTACACATGAATTCATATATCTTAATTTAGTTTTTTGCTTGAAAGTGAAGGGAAAATAGCATATTATGTAAGGTAGGACAGTTTCAGATTTTACGATCTTAATGTTTTGAGAAAAAAAAAATCCCGAAAAGCGATTTATAGTCAAACCATGGTAAATCCATTAATAGCAAAATGCTACATTTGATATATAGTCCATAATATATGTATGATATTAACATAACTTCTACAGTTCAAACAGAGATTGAACGTATTTTTTCCATATTCACTTTTCATATAATTCAGCTATTTTGCTCTCGGGAGTAAATATATCTGTAAGACACAGACGAAATGGCGGTAGGTACATTCGCATATATTCCAACTGCTTTATTATGCATTATTTTGAATAATTTGTTGTTTTAACTGATTTACATTATCATAAGACATCATTTGGTGTAGGAAAGTCATAACTTACCTGTGACAGTGGTGGTCTCGATGTGTCTATCCCTGCATTCGATGTTCTCTTTACGAACGTAAAGAAAATGATATTATAATTGGCTTATTAGAAACGTTTTAATGCCTTAGATTCCACTGAAATGTTTTGAATTAAGCTTTTCTGCAATATATTCTCTCTCCAGAAGTGATTTATAGTCACATACTTATATTTATTGTACGAATACAGTGGCAGTTGATATTTAATCCTTCGATTCTGTAAGTAGGAATAATTTATGTTGGTCCTGAAAGGAATAAAGTTTTATGTAGATCGATCACAGGAAAGTACAAGACCATGTAAAATAGAAACAATAGCTTGATACTTTCTGATTCGTATTATTATCGTTAGTTTGTCTATTGGTTTCGTCGTTGTATACCTTGTTAGCATTTGAGAACGTGACATTACTTTCTTAATTTGACCAATGTACATGGCGGGTGTCGTCGATGAAACAAAAGACGCTTACTAATCCGGAACACCTGGTCTCAGTTTGAATAATGATTATGTTGCCATGTTGATATGTTATTTTTATTATTGGAAACAAAGCTTGTTGGATCAAAATATTTCATTTAATGTTACCCAAGTTTAGACTCCATTTGTCGATAGATATGGAAACATCACACCGCGAGCAGTTGTCGTCCCTCTTCAGTTCTCCATTAGCCATACACATACCATCTAACAGGCAGTAATCTAGAGACGATCAACAATCGTTTACAAAGTATCAACCAACAAAGAAGTATGAATGAGACATTGTTATTGATATAAACATGCCAGCAACATATGTGTTTATGGGTAAAACAAAAGTGCGTTCTTTTTGAAAAAAATATATTGTGTTTAAGACACACAAATAAACAACACATTCGAAAACATGTATATGAATTGATATAATAAAACTAAATTGAATCTGCATCACACAGCTGTTTCCTCCTTCTCGGGTTCCTTAATGAATTTGATTGCCTAACTCGTTGAAGGTGCTCCACTGCCCCAAAAAATGGTAATAATTTTCAATATTTAATCATTTCAAATCAAGGTTGAGAGTGTATGTATGTGTATTCTTGACCTCACCACTATTTTAGCGAATTGAAATGTGACATGCAGATTAGAGCAAACATCGGAGACGAAAAGTTCACCATCAGTGTCTACTACCTAAGATCTAGAAAATTGTACAAAGCCCCACAAGAGAATTGCAACTTTTAAAATGACAAACTGGATGCAATAGAACCAAATATTAATGGAAAAAGTTATATAAATATGTTGTCCTTCTAAAGCGACCCGTCAGTACCTAAAGTGTTGAAACGTAGGAGGCGACTGAGAAAAATCCAAAACGGTGAAAGCTAATGTCAAGAATGGAAAAAAAAAAAAAATACACAAACTCCTATGTGAAATAAATGTCTGAAAAAGGAGTTTCATTTCAAATACATTAAACCCTTTGGAATGCTTTATAATGTCAGTATTTTACATATTACCATGCTATCCAATGGTATAGATTTAGACAACTATGTGATGAAATAATAAAATAAAACTAGAGCAAAAAATGAATATTAAGGCGGGCGAATCGCGTATGTTTGGATCCATATGGCTTTTCGTGAATTTAGCAATTAAGAAGAACATTATATGGTGCTTACCGAATGAAATTTGCTGGTAGCGGAACATATCGCTTTGAATACTAGACCTTCGTCAATAGTTTAACTCGGTTAAGTGTTTCATTACGGATGAATGAGAATCAATCCAACAAATATAATCTTAAAATTAACGCCAACAATGTAACATAATGATGTCCATACATGTTCTTTGTCACAATTGGTGAATATCTTCAGTACATTTTAAACCAGAGTGACCTTTTCTGCTGTAACAATTAACCTTATTGATATATTGAAATGCAAGGATTTCTGCTGTGACAATTAACATTTTTGACAAATTTTCATACCAGGATTTCTGCTCCACTCATATCTTGATTTAGAATAATTTGTGTTGCATACTGAACACGAGTCCAGAGGATTGACACTGCCTTCCGCAACACAGAGTCCTCCAATAAAGCAAAAGTGTTCCTGAAAGAATAACAGTATGGTGTTTTAGCATATTGTATATTTCATATAACGTAAATCATGAATGGGATGAGACTGGCCTGTCCCCTATTAGTGTTGTGAGTGGCATATGACGTCTGCAGTAAACATACACCATAAACAAAAATGAATCATTTGTTTAAAATGTCAGTCGATCCATGTCTTTTCTATGTATTAAGAAATTGATAGAAATGTCGTAACTTTGCTTGAAATATCATTTATTTATATTCATAAAACGTAACCTCGAGAATTATTTTGCTTGCAGATATGACTTCAGTATTTTAATTTCATACACTGAGTAATATTTACTACCGGATCTCGCACCTATTACTAACAAGTTCCATAAACTCAAAAACCTAGCTTTAATGATTTTGGTCACGATTTTGGTTTTTGCTACATTTTGTTACACCATAATCCAAATATAACTTCCTCCTTTATAGCACCGCTCAAAAACCTGATTTTACAAACGTATTCGTTACGCAAAATTTACGAAATTTAATAAAATGAACGTTTACGTGGTACATGTGACGTCAAAGTGTTATGTCGACGTTTTTCCAACACATATATGGATATGATAAAATTCTTGTTTGATTTGGTTTTGACATTTATCACTTTAATCGACAAAGAGAATATACTGAAATACAACACAAGTTCGTTATTTTTCAAAAATGCACATCTACGTTATGTAACAATCGTGGCATTTCTACGCATTGAAAACATTCAATTGAATGTAAAATTTAACTGTAGTTAATCTACAACTTGTTCTGGCGCAATATGTATATATGCTTTGACCTCAGACAAAGTCGTTCACGTAATTGTATATAGTCGTGCCTCTTTTAAATTAACAAGGAAATTAAAAACGCACTCATATATTAAGGCAGGTTTTACTTTTAAACGATTTGAACGTATTTAAATGAAACTAGAGTTGATGTGTGTACACAGGTCTTATAAGGTGATACCTCCGAGGGATACGAGATACTGAGGACAACACACATTATTGCTTCATTTTAGTTGAAATATGGAATTATGATAAGCCGTGGCCAAAACCATTTAAGAGTAATTTACATACAAGCATCGTTACTGACGGTGATGTACTTTGGTTAACACTTTGACAAAGTCCGTTGTAGATTATTATATCAGATATATTCCCATCGTGGTGACCGTCATTGCTGACCCCAAGTGACCACCTGTAGGCAAACACGTTACTGCACATGAGACGTGAGACGAGCGGTAGCGGACAGAATACTTCCATCAGTGTGTTGAAGTGTCCAGGCGTTGACATCTGCATATAGGATTCCTCTGTACCGTTGATGTATATCTGTAGTAACAAAGTAATTGATATTGTAGAGGTAGAAGGTAATGCTTCACTCATCATAGTAAATTATCTTTTAATATATAATACAACAAACGGCTATTAACCGAAATACAAAAATAACAGAAGCATGACAACTATCAATCAAAATATAAAAATAGCAGAAACATGACAACTATAAATTATGATATAAAAATAGCAGAAACATGACAACTATCAATCAAAATATAGAAATAGCAGAAACATGACAACTGTCAATCAAAATATAGAAATAGCAGAAACATGACAACTATCAATCAAAATATAAAAATAGCAGAAACATGACAAATATCAATCAAAATATAAAATTAGCAGAAACATGACAACTATCAATTAAAATATAAAAATAGCAGAAACATGACAACTATCATTCAAAATATAAAAATAGCAGAAACATGACAACTATCAATCAAAATATAAAAATACATAGTTGTAGGAAATTATCAACTACCAGCATTCATAAAAATTATATAAAGAAAGAGAAAAATGTTTATAAAGGGATTGAAGCACAAGAAAGATAAAACAGTTTCAACCTTATACAGCGTATTATGACACGTCAGAGTCTCGATATCAACAAAAGTATCTCCTTCAACTATCGCCAGATGACACTCGTTGACATCACAAGTGCCGCTGGTGTCGACATTCACGCCGTGTATTTGGGGAGGTACCCGGATGTCTACTGAACAATCAGATGCTCCATAAAATCTGGTGCAAACGCAGGTACCTAAACGGATAAATAAACAACTTAAATACTCAATCAGTTCCGTTGTACGTTATCTGGAATAAATTGCGCTTGTGGTATAATAAAGTCAATTTTGCAATTAGATGACTTTTTCATTATGATCTTGATGAACTTACCATTGTCACAATGTCCATATCCACTACATTCGTTTGGACAGGTTATCGCCTTGATCTGCTGGGCAATGGAAGGTTGGTCAGCCGAATCTTCCTCCTGGTACGTCGTGTTCTGTTTCAGTTCCTTCAGACAGACGGACTTCAGAGATTCCCTAGCAGAGGTAGCCCATACAGTTGTCTGGGTAGCCTTTAAATAATATTACACTATTTTGCATTGTTTCGTTTACCAGCTTCTGTCAAACAAATATATAAATAACTCGTGTTTATTATTACACTTGCAAGCTTATCGGTAATAAGTAGTTTTTGTGTTAGCATGGTAACACTTGTTCATAGTTGTCCTTACAAGAACTACGGAAGAATGGTTGTTGTTCAAAGATCATATATTAATGACATATTAAATCAATTGTGACAAAAAAAAAAAAAAAAAAAGATGACAATTTTCCAGCGTCCAATTTTGCAATATTATAGGACAATTGTACATAAAATCAGTACAATTTGCCTCCTATATTGTGTATCAACAAAAATGGGGTATAACGTATCGACACGTATGAGATAGATCATAAAACTAAAGCAATTAGCAGACACAGATTTCTCATAGAAAGATATGTTAAAGTACAACAAGATACAGAGGTGGGCTACAAGGATTGTTTTTTATCTAAACGATGCCTAAATGTTGATAAAATACTGAAGATATTAAAAACGTAGAGAACAGAACACATTCTTAACGGCCCGTCAACACATCAAAAGTCATTAGGGCCATCAAAAGGTAAAACACAAAGCGATCCAAAAGGAAATAACATTTAACAAACCAAAAGGTAAAAGACCAATGTTAAAATCTTAAATGGGTATGTTAACACAAGAGATTAAAATGGTTAGTCATAATCCATTATAAAGACCAACATCTTTCAGGTAATGTAGGAATTTTACAAATCTCAACAGATTCAAAAAGGGATTTTAGACATGTATTGTTATGATAAAAACATTCTCGAGTAGACAGAAGGTCAATGCAGTCCAGTAAAAATATCTAACGGTGAATGGCTCATCAGATCCTATGGAGTGCAATTTGTTATTGGTATATGTATTCCATTCCTCCTGCCACTGAACTTTTTAAATTTGTTTGATAAATGGTTTAAAATCAATAAGATACAGTTTAAAATAAGAGGTGGTATCGATAACGCTTCCTTTGAGGCACGGTCTGCTTTATCATTGCCTGGTATTCCCATGTGCCCAGGAATTCAGCAAAAAGCAATACGAAAGTTAAAGGCAAGTTCATAATATAGTATTAATGTATTACGAATGAAATATTCTCGATATCTCTATTGCTAAGACTCTATAGAACAGAAAGAGAGTATGAATGGATAACAGCTCTAATTACTTTGTTTTCTTTGAATATATTCAAGGACGAGGTAGATAGCTGGCGCTTCCGCCGAGAATTTTGAGGCGTTGTTCGGTAGCCGGCATCCATAGGTTTCATCTCGCGTAACCATGGCCGCAGCAACCTTATCATTATCTTTTAAATCATCATTATATAAATGTAGAAATGTTTTATATCTTAATTGCAATTTCGAGAAGGATGAACGAAAGGTGTAACTGTCTGTGGCTACACGTGAATGTTGTAACTCGGTAGTGTGGCTGACTAGTCCCTGGGCAAAGAGCATAGACTGTAAACAGGAGTTTATCTCTGTATCTATACGTACGCGAGCCAAACATATTTTAGTACATTGCTCTTTCTTTTGAATTTAAGGAAAATTCGGATATTACATACTTAATTAAATGATAAATACCATCTTACAAATGTATTTATTTTTCAGTCGCATATATTATACTGTTTCAAAACTATCTCCGTTCACTGAAGATTTAAAGCAAAACTACTTTGTTGTAAGATACACATGTAATTTGGCACAGATTTCTAACATTTTTATATTGCTTCACATTGTAGTGCATAATGCTCCACAGTACACTAGACAACTAATTTATAAACAGTATAGTATGTAGCTTCATAATTCAGTAGTCGATAAATTTAGTGTTCAAATGAACCATAGATTAAAACTTCCGCGTCGTTTAGAAGCTTTACAATACTCACTTTTTCAACACGCATATGCGGTAATATCTCGGTTAAGATGGGGATGAGTGTTTACTATAAAATATGTAGATACATTGAAATATGTTTCTGTAGTCAACAAACCAAGTAATCACTTATGGAGTGTACACCAACGTGGAAAAGCTGTGCTTTGACAGGTCAGCAGAGAAATTCTAGTGCTTTGACAAGTCAGCACAATAATTCTGGTGTTGTGACAAGTCAGCAGAAGAATTCTTGTGCTTTCACAAGTCAGCTGAGGAAGTCTGATGCTTCGACAAGTCAGATGAGGAAGTCTGGTGCTTCGACAAGTCAGCTGAGAAATTTCGTACATACATACATACATACATACATACATACATACATACATACATATATATCAAGCTCTGTTTAGATAATTTGCTTCATAGTTGCAACGATTATTTACATAAAACTCTGATTAAATGAAATAAAAATCTTATTTAATCATCATTTTGAATTTGTGCTTAACATAAAAACACGTGACAAGTATTTTAGTGCACATTTTCAGGAATGAATCAAGCTTATAAACATAATTAAAGCTACAAACCATGATATCAAGGACACACGAGTCGATAGAATTGGCCGGATCTGTTGCTGGAACCTTATTGGCACAAGTATTGAATGATGTCGATCCTTTGAGAAATTTCTCACAGTAGTTTGTGGCTGTTGTCACATTCCATTGCTGTTGTAAAGGCATCGCCTACGACAAGTAAAGGAACAGGTAAAACATCGGTTGTTTGATTATTGCAAACACATACATTTGTATGGGTCAGAATGAAGACAGGTAGTTGAGACATAATTATCTTATATAAAATGAAACGTTTACCTTAACATTTAATTTCGCACTATAAATGTGACTAAAAAAGCAATACAAAAATGTTAATTAAACAATACATAATTAAAGTTCAGGGGATTGTATAATTATATAGGAATATACAATTAAACAAGGTATTGCAGTCCTCTAGCAGCAGAACGTCTTTGTTTGAACGTATTATTGAAATTGCTTACACTGGCAAGTGGAGCAGTTGATGTTGGCACAAGATCGATTGGTAGTAACGACCTTGACCTCCTGTTCCGACATCGGTTCTGTTTTACTACGGGAGATTCGTCATCCCTAACACACGTTGCTATAGCATCATGTGTACATGAAATGTTGCGTGACGGTCCATTACACGTACAGAACTGTGTGTTCTCTGTTCTGTTCCAGATTGTCAAATTTTCAAGAGCGCCAGCAGACATCGTAATGAGATTTTCATCTTGATTAGTAACTCTACGAAATATAGAAGTATCAATTGTTCACACTGTCATAATGATTCGAGGGTTACTGTACAGTTCTCATACTTTAATAACTTCAAACATCAAGTCTGACATTTAATAATGTTATGAAAATGAATAAAGTATTTCCGGAAACGTTTTGATTTTACTTTTCAACCTTAAAATGACCAATTACTTAGTTATCTATAGCACATGCAACTATTTGGATGGTGCTACTAATTAGTGCAGCAAATCAGTTGATGATGGGGAAAAAATTCATTTTTTCACTTTTGGAATGCATCAAAATGGAGCCATTACCGCCATGAAGTGGCAAAAATATTGTTATCTCCAGTAATTTGTCCATCAGGTGTGGAAAAGTCGTCGTCCGTTCGTCCGTTTAGAGTTCCACATAAACCACGTGTATGGAAAACATCGGCCGCGGACGGATACATATGTAAGTCCATCACGTCTTTACCAGTGTAATGCCACAAGTGAACATTCAGGTAGGTACCACTAGGTAGGTATATCTAAGAATAAATCAATACTGTGGTTAGTATAAATGACGGGTTAATCCGATAAGGGTAACGAGTCTCGTTGGATACATATTACAACATTATTGATATTAGATGATAGAGGAGTGATACCAACAACATCAACCGTAGAGAAACGTATCTAGAATACTAAGTACAAACTAAATATTTCTATTTTATATAACATATGTTCTCTTTGGCTACACTATGATGAAGGAACGCCTGTTTTGATCATCGAACAAATTCGATTTGGATTTTTTCTAATATAGGCTACAGGTATTTATTCGTCAATCGATGCTTTCTTTTAAGTATTTTGTGTTGTCTGAATAAAAGGGGCATATCGACTTAAAAACTGACAAAGAATCATGTCCGCACACTCAATATTACTCCTCTGTTATAGACATTTAATTAAACATTAGATATTTATATTAACGATTGTTGGATTTTTAAAATTAAAATATAGGTACGCAATGTCTTTAATTAAAAAATTGGAAGATTTATGACAGTACTTTGTAAACATTGTCGTTGATTTTCCTGACATCTAATAAGTAATCTTCACAGGAGCGAAATTGAAATACGGGACGATATATTCCCGGGCAGCGGTCAATGACGAAAACATCTCCTCCTGCCCGTACAGCAATGGCGCATACACAATACACGTGGGCCGGGGGGTTACAGGGAGTCACCTTCATTTGCACCTACACACACGCAAAATATATATTAGATAAACATTTATATGAACATTGTTTTGTTGTGGTTCCATTTGTACAGATGAGCTAGGACTCGAACCAATAACATGTCAGTTACCTGGACCTTTCTGCTAGGGTCATCATTTTCATACAAGATAAATGTTCCATCGTTCTGATTCTCATAGTTCCTGAAAAAAAAATAGTTTCAAAAAGTTAATACAATGCAACTTTAAGACGCCAACTTTCATTTATGTGTACAATCTCTTTCTTCTTTTATTTCCCTTCATTTTTTCACAATTATATAAAATGAATACGTCATGATTAGTAACCAACATTAACGTGTATTTAATCATGTCATCAGTGAAATGACTAGAAAAGTACCTTCCATCAAACGTTTTCATGTGAGGGTCACATATAGCATGACATTCCTTTCCCTTCCAAACCTTTGTATTATCTTCCATCAGAACCTAGAAGAAATATTTAAACTCAAAAAGTGCTAAAAAATAGTAGACAGTTTATACAAGTATAGTTTCAACAAAACCGCTTTAAAAGAGTTTTACATCATCATTTTTTTATTTTAATTCTTTCGTTTAGATATTCGTGTCCAGTGTGTAGAGATCCTTTATAAGATATAGTTATTGTATGGGTGTGTCAAGGAGAGGGGGATTGGGTTGGGGGTTTGGTTATCAAACAATGTCCATACGCATTGTAGGAATGTATTTTAGATCTACCGTATTGATCGTCATGTAATTTAACATGTATTCTACATGGCCATGGGCACCAAGATGGTGCCATCATATGTTCGCATATTTATTGGCCGCCTTGAAAGGCAAGGCTACTTGCAGCAGTCTACTCAAAACCACTCAGCTGGTTAATATCCATTGATGATATTGAGATCAAGTGGACACCCGTCCGGTAATCTCTTGAGAAATTCATTTATTTTGCGAACGAGTTCCACAGAACTCCAGAGTTTAACTGCGTTTTGTTGGGCATTTGTTGCATACGCACCAATGAAGCTATACTCACGGATATATTCAATAAAACCACGGACACTCACCATTCGCTTCTCTAGAGTTCACCCACCTCATACAATAATGTCTCTAACATAGGGGATATGAAGCAGTTCTGATCGACCGCGAAATCGCAAGAATTAAGTCCAGTTTAGGGCTAATACACTTGAATGCAAAGACCTACTGAAACTGGAAGAGTACCTTGTGTGGTAACCTTTCACCCAAGCATGCCACCATTGTCAACGATCTTCCGCAATCACTGACAAACCCTGCTGTTGTTCAATAACACCCAGAACATTTTCACAATATCACCCTGAATCACCAAATATAGCTTATCGCATGCTGAAAAAATATCGAAGACCTGAATGTAAGCTGTGAGCTACCTACAACTTCTACTACTGTCATTGGTTGTTACAAGACATCAACAGTAAGATATGCAAGATTTTGTCTCTACTCCCTACTCTCACAGCACCAGTTAATTCAAACAGGAGTCAACGGAGAGAACAACCACATCCCACAGTACTGCACATCGGCCAATTTAATATGCTTGATCACTTGTGCCAAGTAATGTACGCAGTATGTAGGAGAGAGCAAAACAATACTTAATATTGGGATCAACAACCACCGGTATTCCATTCAGCTGATACGCCCGGAATGTAGCAAGACAGTTCAGCATTCCAAGCCATACGTGACATGACATACAGGTGGTACCCAAGGACCACTACAGGAGTTGGAGCGACCAGCAACACCCCGGTAAGGACCAACTTGATCAAGCAGTTTTAAACCTGCTCTTCTCCCGACATGGATGAGAGATGCTCTATACATGGTTTATCAAATGGGTGCAGTAGACATACCTTGTAGTCGTTATAGTCTACTCCACACATGTAACTCCTATGAATGTGCCATACAGGGATTTTTTTAACTGGATAATTATCTATTTTGCCCTTACCATTTTCAAAATTGCAATTCTTATGCAGTGTTTCAACCTCTATATTCGTCATATTTAGAATTACCTCCGACTTTGAACTTTACCTAGGAAGAAGAAAATAAAGTTTTTTAGGGCGAGTTTTCGGGTCGAGTTGACTGATCATGGGATTATTCGAGCATAATGCGAATGTTTTTTTTATATACATCTTGTGCATTTAATTGGTGATTCTTATCAAAGATATTTGTATGCTTATTATACATACATCTATTCAACTCTTTACAATACAAATTCTGATCTTTAATCACTGATTCTTCTTCAAGAACAGGACACAGGTTGACAGACAACCGTTTTTCTCGGAGTTTTACCCTGGAAACTGCAATCGCACATATACGCTCAGTGGATATCACACATTGTACACCAAGAGTTAATGTTAATTTGCCATCTTGGAAACATTAGCTTATAATGGGCCTTGGTCACACTACATCACCGTTCGTGTTATAGTTTGCAACTTTTAAATTCTGTGTATGTTATGTAACTTATAAAATGATATTTTGTGTCTTGATAAAGGTGCAGAATGCCTCAAAATTTGACAATTCTCTTGTCCCTACTTTCATTATTTCTTCATTGATCATATATATGATTGATACATATACACGTTAAATTGATCAATAAATCGGTATTCTCGACATCCGTCTATTTGTTACACGACAGAGTGTGCAGAAACGTAAAAACAATTTTAGATGAGCTAGTTCAACCATATCTAGATGTGTGACTACAACTGATTTATATTGTAAGGTTACAAAGGCACAATACAGGATGTCAAACTATGACGACTAAAACAATATTTAAAAGCCCAGAATTATATGATGAATGTAATAAAACATGATATAACAAAAACTATCATATCCCGTCAACAAAAACGAAAAAAAAAATGTTGAAAAAATGATTGCATTTGTTTCAATTTTTTAACCCAAGAACTTTTAATATGAACTCCTTTATAAAAAAAACAGACTCTGTTGTGGTAGTATTAGAAACGTTATATATAAACACAATTCTACATAATAGAAAACAACCTAAAACTAAAAACAAATATTGGCATTTACTAGATTTGATAGTTCTAGTTTTAGTTCTCATGTAATACATCTATGCCTTGTAAAAATTATATGATACCTAAATACAGTAATTTTGTTTATAAGATTGGATGAAAAGTTCACAATTAAATTTAATGAATTTTCATATCAAAGAATATGCATTATGCTACAGTTTCGTTCGGTGGTGATTTTTCTATTTGCCAAGTATACTGTAGGTATCAATCCCAGTATATGTATGACCGTACATAGACAGCAAACGAAAACAGATTCATTACAAAATCTACATGTAAATTAACAAGTTCATAATTGTGCTGGCGACATATTTAATGTATTACATTTGCATCAGTAATATTCATCAAATACGTAGTTGTTAAAAGAGAAGATCAGCAAAGAAAATGTATTGAAACTTGATAACTTGTGACGCCACGTAAAATATACAAATCAAGACTTGTGTAAAAAATAAGTGTTTCAACCTGATTCAGGCGATAATACCTATCGTTGATACTGTCCGTTTTTCATAACATTCAATCTTCCTAGAAATCTATCTCATCCTGTACTATTGGTTTCTGTTCACTGTGCCCTTGCTTATCATCCTGGTTTTGCGTATTTCATTCATTTGCATCCGAGCCCGCACAACACGTTAAAATGTTGAAAATTTATAATTATTTTTTTACTAAATTTGATAGATCTTTGAAATCACTCAACGATATCTTTCTATTTACTACGTTCTATTTGTACTTACGGTAACGTCATTGAGAACGACTTCACTCCAGATAGGATTGTAGTTATTGATAGCTGTACGAAGACTGATTCTATAGCTGTCTGGATGTCCGCTGTACGTCTGATCGTCCAACCAAGCGATGTAGATATTATGTTCTTGATCCCACTCATCATGGCGGATGTGTGTGCCACAGGTCTGGGCCCCAACAGGTAGAACTGCTCCAACGCTGCCCCTGTAATGTTTTTAAAAATGAACATTTCTTCTTACATTTACGATAAAAAAATCTATAAAGTATTACCCATACATGTAAGATGCAAATAACTTTTGTTTTGTCATAGACGTACTTGAACAAATTAATAGCATGGCCTAGCATTAGCTCCATCGTGCACCTCACTCGAAATCGATAAAACGGATTCAAACTGTAAATGTTGTAAATGCCAGAAGATCAGTGTTCCGGAAATAATTAATAAGATCTCATGTTCTCTAAATGTAGTTTTAGTATCAATGTGGCATCATATTGACCCTAGGAAATATCAATGAAAGTAGAACATTTCTCACATCAGCTCTTACTATGCTCACATCTATTTTTTCTCTTGTACCTAACTTTGATTTGTGTTGCTACATCCTAATCGTAAATTCACGTATTGGTCTTGTGGAAAATACCTATGTTGATCTTACCTACACTTGTACGTCTCAGGAATGATCAATTCTACCACCACTTCGCAGCCATCTTGAAACAATGTCGGGCAGCCAATGGGTACTGTGGGTTTAACTACAATATGTGCCTTCGGAGTTTCTCTATGCAAGGTTACTGAAGGTGTAGACTGCATAAAACACAATAGTCATAAATTATCGATATACAACAATCTATCTTCTATTTTCAGGTGCAAAGGGTGATTTGTCGAGAAACTGTAAATACATGAAGTCGCAAGCAGATAGAAATATCGTCAGTTTGGTTAATAAGTCATCGTATTCGTCGGAAAACAGGTCTATAAATGTTTTCACTATTTTCACTATTCTGCGGTACATAAACGTTGTCGCGAAAGTTTACTCCCTGAAATAATGTGACGGGAGTGTATAAGACGTCATTTTACATCCAAATCGCGAATATTTCATTCATTAATATACCAATCGGTCGGTTTAAAATAAAATCACGAAAATTTTGAACCGAGTAAACTACCATCTATACAGCATTATTTTCACACTTAAAATTAATATTTCCTGTCCTTGGATTAATTCTAAAGAAAGTAAAAAAAAAAATAAAAGAAAAAAAAATAAGAAAAAACTTAAAACCTGAAATAAAAGCGATAAACAATATAACTTTTGCATGTATTCAAATATATTTTCTGAACTTATTTAATGCATATATATTCAGCTATGAAATTTTTGATGATTTATAACATGCATTGACAAACATACTGCTGTGTAGTATCTGTAGATTCATTATCAATTCCAATCCTATACACTTCAAGACGTAGGGACTGCATACCTCGATTCCTGCATAAAATGGATCGCTTATTGGAGACAATTGTCCAGGCATTTCATCCGATGTCAATCGGGCTCTTACAGCACAAGCCACCTGCAACAGATACTGACGGTATGCATAGAGGTATAGAAAACAGAAGTTTGTTCTTCTAATTACATGTATGGACGATAAATCTAGCAAAAAGCTCTATGTTCGACGACGCATGAAAATCCAAACGGCAATGCCTTCATCGACTGTCTTATCTTTATCTCTGAATTCAGAAATAAACATACGTGCAAACAATATCCATGATCATTAACTTTGTAATTATGACATCCATTACAAAGAAATATACAAGAATCGTCATTGTATACAATTTTACAAGTAAATATTAGAATTCGAGAAAAGGCGTAGAATGTCGAATTAGTTATACGTAATTCAAACGTTGGCTTCGATATATGTATAGTTGACAGAAAAACTGTTGTAAACTTTTCGAAAATACGAGATGCTATTTACATTCACACCGAGTCGCTCCAGTTGACCATGTCCTTCTTCTAAAACCAATTGGTCCATGTCTGTTTTGTTTGCAGTCTTGGTTTCATTGATAGCCTGTCCGTCTATATACCATATGACCTCATACTGAACGTCCTCGTTTAACAGTGTGAAATCACAGATGAATTGTAAACTCTGCACATTGATGTTGAACACAGGACTTAGCATGTCGACGAGTGAAACATTCACGACAGGTTTAGGGATTCCAAGCTTTGGCGGCAAGGCTTTAAAACAAATTAGAGAAATTTGTCAATTTTCTTCACTATATATGTTGGTACATTCCACAGTCGAACATCGCATGACGACATTTCAATAAAATTGACACATAACGTTGACTTTTCTACCATATTGTTGTAAATAATGTATCGATATGGGCATTATAACGAGGATGGCGATAACATCATGGTTCTATAACTAATAACAAATAACTTATAATGATTAGTGGATACATATTCATCATTTATTGATTAAAAATCAGCACATGTTTCAATCATAAATGACAACAGTTGTTTATAACACAAAAAGGAACATTGATCCCTTTGACTCAATGAAAACATTGCAGGTAGGACATCAGAAAAGCCTGGTCACATTAAAGAAAAATTGCATAGAGATGTAGGTCCTTGTGAAATATGCGAGAAATAGCGGAGTGCGAGGGTAGTGAACATGTTTAGGGAGTTTCATAGGAATTCATTCTCAAGGATAAGTTGGCGGTATGCTAGCTTGGTAGTTATTGATAAAGACAGCACTGTACTTACATTTGCTTGGGTACACTAAAAGGTAAAACAAGCAAAAGTTTGATTGATTAGGTTCAATACCTCTTATAGTAGAAACTGATTATTGAAATTATACTGACGTCTGTTGTCAGACACTTTTCTCAAGGAGCAGAAAATAAAACATGGGAACGGTGATTATATGATTAAAAACATGATGATTGGTCATTATTATGAACAATGAAGAATACTATCACTATAAGTACATGTATAAATGAAACTCACATGAAAACTCACCACGGTTGATGATATGGTTCATTCAGTTAAACTTTACAAGGTAAAATAGGTTTTTGAGGCAGAAAAGAAATAAAGAAAAAAGTAAACCACTCCAGGTTCGGATGAAGTCTTATATTACGGTGAACTTTTCTATACGCCTCTTCATTAATTTTAAAGATAAACAAGTGATTTCATTTTTTCAAAATTTATTCTATAGTTGCTTTTTTCTTCTATCGATTAAAGAAATATTGATTTTAAAAAAAATCTTTGACACCTACCAGTCCCAAATTTTATTACTTACCATATATGAAAAGAAGCGTATTATATATATATCAGAATTAATTTGTGAAGCTTATTATCTATTTCATCTTTTAGAGCTAGTTGGTGAAGCTTATTATTTATTATATCTTTCAGAACTAGTTTGTGAAGCATTTTATCTATTTTGTCAATTAGAATCATTTTGTATTTTCACTGATATCACTGAGATAAATATATATCTAAGAATTTTTGTATTGCTCTGTATTTTCGGGTTTGTGAACAAGTTTCATGAGGTACGTTATGATCTTTTGGCCCGAACTGAATCAAGATAGAAGAAGGAAAATACGTGGTCAGGCCGATGATCCCCACCCCAACCCCACACCCAATGCCCACCCTGTCCCCACTCAATCCCCATCCTCACTCTCATTCCCGCTCTCATCTCAACCTTTTTCATGTTCGACCGGGAAACCGAGTCCCGGTCGTCTAGGTGAGCGGCAAATATTTCGCCATACCACCACTTAATCAGTTATGTTAAAACGAAGTATTCGGAGACGAGTTTAAAGCACAGAAAAGAGTGGACCTTGAAGAAAATAACGCACCCATCCTTAATTGATCATACGTCATCCTACTGCTTTTGTACTGTTTGGAAAGAATTTTGGAAGTTCACTCATATGGACAAAATAAGCATGCAAGCATACAACCAAACGATATAAACAGATGTGTATAGTTTAATCGAATACTTACAAAAACAATATGCTGACGAAGTGCTGGCCGGTCTCTGAAGAAAATAAACAGAATAATGTCCACACATCTTTATCCGGATGTTCATTGGTTGGCGACAAACACTGCCAAAACCAACAGTACAGGCGATCCTTTCCACGATCCCGTCCTGGGCGTTAGGTAAACTTCCTGAAACCATGCATAAGTTGATCTAACCAATGTTAATCTATTTCACTAAGTTACTGTTTGCCCATTAAATATTACATACTTAAGCGTTAAAGAAATATTCACAACGTCGGATAGATTTGATACTTGTGCAGCCATAGGAAATATTTCATATTGTTAAGAGAAAACTTTTGATCTGAACTTAAAAATTAAATAACTATTTCCATACATTTAACTACAAACGTATTTCTGTCAGATCATCATTTATTTATTTAAACAACATGTATAGGTTCACTGCGATGTAAATATTCAATATTCTACAATAATGTCCGTCATGGTCATTTTCAACCTATCTTCCTATGCAATAGCTTGATGTACATTACATGTACAGGAAAATAAGTTAAATGGAGTTATACATGTTAAAATATATCTCATTATAAAATAATTCTTGTAAACGTAGTATCGAATTTAATTACCGTTTAAATAGATTGGAAATACCGTTCCACAAGTCTTTAGTTCCTGTATAAGAGACACGTTGTTGAGCATGTGTTGAGATTGTACCTTGAACCAGTCCCCTGTGGCAGGGATGTTGTAGTGGTCATCAATGATGTGGCCACTTTGACCAAGCGTAGAATTGATACCCCGTTGGTCCATGTCGGGTAGAATACGTTGCGTCTCGCATGGTTCAAATAAAAAGGCTAAATTTAGATTGGAAAAGGAATTAATTGCTTTAAGATTATTTTCTTTGCTAATGATGTACGAGAACATCTAAACACGTTTGAAAAAAGAAAATCTGACACAAATTCTTAAAGAATATACGAAATGATAAATAAATAATTGTTTACCAATATTAATGACAATGCTTGTGTTACAAGTGCCGTAGGTGTTTGAAGTAGATATCTGGTGTTCTCAATGATTTTCAATTATACTGTACACCGCTGCTGCCATTTTTATACAATACAATATAGAAGCAGCGCAAAAGAAAAAGGTGCATCTGCGTTACATTTAGAGACAATGAATATCGCCAACAAAAGTCTTTGATAAGTTTAATATTTCACACAAAACATGAATAATCCTTTAAAAAGTAGAGAGAAATCCTATGTTGTAATGTAAACAGAATTTACTCTATGTCTGTTTTACATCTGTTTTCGCCAAACCAATAAGTCAATTTAAAGCTAAAAACAAATAAATATCACAAGGATTATTGAAAACCAGATGTTGATGTATAAACTACATTATCGACAGAAAATGACAGCAATAATTAATCGTAGTTTGCAATGCATCGTGCATACCTTTAATCAGAAAGAAATATTGTCTAGTTATAGTAGTCTTAAAAGTGTTAAATATGCGTTACATTTATATCTAAATGTATTTTCAGGAAAGTTGGATATACAAAACGATACATACCGTATAATGAATGACTCAACGCCAATAAAATTATCCAAACAACTTTGGTTATGAACAAACACATCATTTCTGCAGCTCAAAAATGAGCTAACCACTAAAGATATTCATTTTATACCTCAAGGTGACCGAGAAGTGGGGATGGGCTCTTATCTATATGACGGAGGCGGATGTTTTGGTAGCCCATGAACATTTCGTAAAGAAGAAATAATTCACTAGACCTTTCGGGACTAGAAAAAAATATATGTTTTAATTAATCCTATAATTTAGTCACTGGAATCTCGTTGCTATGATACATTACCTCTGGTATTTTCATGTTGTACCGGGATACCTTGAATAGCTTGTTGCGAAATACACATGTAGATAACGTGGTATGGGACTGATATACGCACCACAACTTTAATTTAGACCAGGTGCTTAGGAAGAGTTGATTTACATAATTTAATAACATATATTTATTGTGGTTCATTTGATCCCATGTGTTGTATATGGTATAATTGAGTGTGATATATTGTTTGTGGTATACCAGGTGTTGTATATGGTATAATTGAGAGTGTGATATATTGTGGTATATCATGTGTTGTATATGGTATAATTGAGAGTGTGATACATTGTTTGTGGTATACCATGTGTTGTATATGGTATAATTGAGAGTGTGATATATTGTTTGTGGTATACCATGTGTTGTATATGGTATAATTGAGAGTGTGATATATTGTTTGTGGTATATTGTTTGTGGTATACCATGTGTGTATATGTATAACTGAGAGTGTATATATTGATAGAGTGTTGTATATGTATTGTTTATATTGTGGTGTATATGTTAACCAGGTGTTGTATATGTTAACTGAGAGTGTGATATAGTGTTTGTGGTATACCATGTGTTGTATATGGTATAATTGAGAGTGTGATATACTGTTTGTGGTATACCATGTGTTGTATATGGTATAATTGAGAGTATGATATATTGTTTGTGGTATACCATGTGTTGTATATAGTATAATTGAGAGTGTGATATATTGTTTGTGGTATACCATGTGTTGTATATGGTATAATTGATAGAGTGATGTATTGTTTGTGGTATACCAGGTGTTGTATATGGTATAATTGAGAGTGATATATTAGAGTTGATATACTGTGGTATACCATGTGTTGTATATGGTATAATTGAGAGTATGATATATTGTCTGTGGTATACCAGGTGTTGTATATGGTATAATTGAGAGTGTGATATATTGTTTGTGGTATACCAGGTGTTGTATATGGTATAATTGAGAGTGATATACTGTTTGTGGTATACCATGTGTTGTATATGGTATAATTGAGAGTGTGATATATTGTTTGTGTATACCAGGTGTTGTATGTATATGTGTGATATATAAGAGTGTGATAAGAGTGTTATATTGTGGTATACCATGTGTTGTATATGGTATAATTGAGAGTGTGATATATTGTTTGTGGTATACCATGTGTTGTATATGGTATAATTGAGAGTGTGATATATTGTTTGTGGTATACCATGTGTTGTATATGGTATAATTGAGAGTGTGATATATTGTTTGTGTTATCACAGACACCATGTATTGTATATGGTACAAGTACATCAGTAGTGTTTGTAATGTATGTATTTATTTAATTCAAATGTAAATAAATATTGGATGTCTCCCATTGTTTTCATGTCAATCCTGACTTCTGGCCAAACGCATAGGGTGCAGACTGCTGTAGATATACATATGAAAATATATTGTTGATATCAGGAAGTATGGTGTATATTTAGGGCTTTCCATCATTTGGTAAAAATACCTATTGTTATTGTTATGTTTCTTCTGATTCTTATTATTATTCTTCCGAAAATTGAGGAGTCTAAATATTTTGATCGGTAAGATATAGGTTTATGGTATTTTTAGAACTTTGTAGGTACATTTCAGTAGATATACGTTTGCATTTTTTAATATGGCCGCCATGACATCATCTGTAAAAAAATAAATTAGCCGTACAGAGTTCATGCAATCATATTATTTGTAGATAATATCAAACTTTCAAACTCTTTTCATACAAGTTAATACAAATGTCATATATTTCGATGCAGATTGTCATTCCGATGAATTTGATGTCTTCAGCTTTTCTTTAGCATTAAACGTTAATATCTGACGCCATTTTATAAAGTTTCCTTATATCTTTTAAAGAGGTCGACAAATTGATAACACTTGTTTCAGGGCCTTTATCAATTACTTTTATTCATTCAATAATTATTGAAATTGTTATAATCTTAACATGCTTATTCACAACAGGATAACATTGTATCCTTGTTTGTTTTGTGAGTAAGATACCACATTCGTGTGTTATGTAAATACTCCTGTGTGTCTCCCGGTTCATCATATCCTTCCTCCTTAAAACATAAAGATTTGAAAAATCCACATCACTACATCGGCAACGTTATACCCTTGTGTAAATAATCGATGCCATCATACTGACCCCTGAAGTTTATAAATACCAATGTTGATAGATATCAAGTATTTGTCTATGTAAACAAGTGTTTATATCATCACGTAGATGACACTATGTTGTTTAAATGTAATAGGCACACCCTCTCAGTCAAACACTACAAAATATACTACTACATCCTACATACACTCACATCGCATACAAAGGGGATGGGTGAGGGGTGGCACCTTTAAAGAACTATAGCTGTTGTTATAAAACCAAGCCAAACTCAGTTATCATCTAACACATAGCCGCACCACAAATGTATAAAACTGCTAAATATTCTAGTATCTATAGAGTAAGAAATATCTCAGTAACAGGACACATTCACTCACACACATTCCTGATGCTAGAAGATCAGTTAGGTGCAGACAGATTAACTGATGAGTGGTTTCTTAAGAAGCCAGCCTTTATCGATATAAAATATCGTTTTGGCTTTAAAGAATCACACATTTGTATGTAGATTGTTTGCTAAATTACCTTTTAATTTATTCACTAACATGTTTTATCGATAAAAATGACTTACATACATAACACCCTGTTTTCAAAATAGGGCCGTTCCACCAGAGAGTAACAAGTAAAAAGATTAAAAAAGAATATACCACCATGGCAACAAAATCATAATCCCAACTCCAATTCTATAAAACTTGGATAAAATATGAACAAAAGAAAGATATACACGGAGACTCCTGAAAAAGTACAAGGGCAATCAGACCAGGTGTTCCGGAAGAGTACTCGCCTACTGCTTCATCGACGACACCCGCCAAGTAAATCACGGTCTCTCCAAGTTAGTAATGTCACAGTTCTCAAATGAGAAGAAGGCATACAACAATGAAACCAAAAGGCAAATTATCGAGCATCAAACACCTTCAGCTTCATATCGCACAACCAGATGGAATATTTCTCCATAAGATCACCAGGATGGCTTAAACGTTTTGAGCTTGTCTGTCAACCATCTTGTCTGCGGACAATACATAACATGGACATCATGATGTTTGGAACGTTCCGAATTTCAAATCAACACCAAGAGATTGAGGGTGATGCTTATACAACTTGCTGAAAAACTTCCATGTTGGTTTCGTTGAAGGAAAAGATGGAGGTAAGTGGTTGATGTAAAATATTCTGTCATGTCATAGTGAGTTTACACTATCGGCGTGGCCAATATATCTATAGTTATTCAAAATCAAAACGTCATCATTATATCTGAAAGTGACATTGAATTATTAAGAGTTTGTGATCTGTTATTCAACCTAGTATGATAATAAAATCAGGTCAACCAACAGAAAGGCACAGTAAGTTTCCATAGACAGCTGTGTAATTTGAAGAATCCCTGGGTGAAGAGTATCAGATTTGAATAAAGGGTGGGTTTCGACCTCTTGGAACAGTAGGAAGGGACCCCCAAAACTACACACACTCTTTTAAATCCTTCTTCTGTAAGAATGCGTGGATTTTGTCACAATTACGTGTGAAGTATCACTTGGTGTGAGGTAATCAATTCTATCTAATACGTGGATGTCGGGCCTCTTCGGCGGAAGAAGGGAGAAGGGGCCCATTATGAGAAATTGAACAAGGCTAAAAATTCCCCCTCTTCTTTAGGAATGAATGGATTATGTCCTTTCGATCTGAAGCATTGTTGGGTAAAGGTAAACAAATCTTGTAAAACCGTTTGGTCTTGGCTGACTTCAATATGAGAATTAAAATGCTTTTAAATTTAAATTTAGTTTAGATAAAATAATTTCAACGATATAAATCCGACGAGTGATACAGGCCCTATACACCTCTTGTTATTACACTTAGAATCAGTGTAATGATAGCTAAAAATATAACACATATATGATGAATCATACTATCTGCCGCGTTACATTATCAACTAAACAATCCGTTTTATCAGGTGTATCCTATCTACTATATTTACATAAATCATCTAACATATGTATATTTGTAACATTTTGCACTCGACGGAGGCAACCTGCCATGGCCATGATGACTTGTAAGGTGATAGTGTTAATGCTGTTGGCTATAACCAAGTCATGCTATTCCAGCGGTATGTATACGTTTATGTTATTTTAACCATCTATCTATAAAAAAACAAAGGCCAAGAAAGCACATTGTATTATGTCCCTCTGTTCGATTACCTTCCTTGCCATACTTGTCGACTGTAATCGGGATTAATTTGGAAAAATATCTAGAGATAATATTGTAGCGTTATGATTTATTTATAAGAGAACATTATATTTCTATGTGTGTTTTCTTCAATTCTTCATAAGTGCCAGGTTTTTATTAACTGTTGGAGAGTGTAATTATACTGCATGCTAGCTTTGTCTAACTTCAAAGACTTAATAGATAATAAGATATATATACAATGTTAACGTATCTTAAGTTAGGGAACATACTACAATCTCTAAAGAGATGGGTATAGACATCCTCGAAAAAGTACAAGGGAAATATCAGAATCGGTGTTCTGGAACTATTTGCGTCAGTTGGGTGATCGAAGCACCATGTAAATCTTTGTAATTCTAGGTAAATAATGTTCGTTCCCATATGAGAATAACAACGCGACAAAAGGCAAACATAGGAACTTCAATGTCTTTTTCTTAAAATCTTAGTTAATATAAATGTATGTGTTATCATCAGCATGATAATATAAACCGTATTTATCTACAAAGATAAGCACATGTTTTTAACAAAATGAAAACTCATACAAAAGAACCCATGGAAACCTCTTCTTCACGTCATTCCGTTTAGACCTCAATCTGAATCGCTGTTGTTCGCACTGAGCTAGTTGCTGATGAAGTCAAAAGCAGATAGTAATCCAATTCTGTATACCCCACTTTCATGTAAGTTATTCCTGAAAGATTCTTTTACATACAAACATTAAAGTAGTGTTTTCAAATGATTTTCCAATGTATACGAATTAAAAACATTTATAGTACATTGAAGATATGCATGATAGTGTACAAGCAGAGGGATTTCTCCTGAGACGAAAGACACCAGTAACAGTAAAATGCAGAAATATTTCATTCATAAAAGATTGTATAAATGACAGACAAATGAATAGCGCTTAATACATACTTTAATTCGATTATTCACAGCTTAAAAATGAAGCAAAATACACCCTACAATATTTTCGTACATCTACGACGCCTCAGTAATGCGAAAAGCATGTGAATTGACATGTATTGACATTGTTTGTATTCCGAGGTGAAACTTTAATATTTGTTGCAGCTGTTACTATAATAATGTCTACTTATCCTTTCCCTTCGATTTTGACCTTAATCAAGCGCCATGACTTGATTTGACCTTAGCACACGCCAGTGTGACATCAGACAAGATAATATGTATCATTTAACATTGTTTACAATCGCATGATTATTTTCATATCATTATTGCTTATTGATATTGAAGTGCATGATGTTGACTCCTGCCCGCTGGGAGAGTCGAGATAACATATAATGAATCACCTTACATCATACAGGGATATAGTGAACATATATATTTATCCGTTAAATTATAACTAATTCCTGTAATTGTTTGATTAACTATTGTATTACATCCACTGTTTACAAATAGTGTAGACAATATGTGTTTGCTTATACATTTTAAAGACGATTTATGTAACAAACAAACAAACAAAACATTTATCAACATGGCAAAATAATCATAATTCAAACTCAAATTCCATACTAAAAATCAAGTGCAAATTTACAAGGAGACTCCTGATAATGTACAAGGAGAATAAGTCCATATGTCCCAGAAGAGTAAGCGTCTTCTGCAGTATCGAAGACACCCAAATGTAAGCCTTGGTCAATCCAAGTAAGTAATGTCACATTCGTGAATGATAACAAGGTATACATATACAACAACGGAGCCAACGGGTAAACTACGGAGCATCAAACAGGTCCAGCTTCATATCACACGAATAAATAGAATATTTCTCAATAAGATCACTATGGCGACCATAAAACTTCAAAAATTTTCATCAACCTGCATCTTTTGCAACCATGTGTTACGAGTTTGTCTGTCACCTGACGACTTCTTGCACGAAAATCGTGATACTTGGAACACATTCTTAAATATCAGATTAACTTCGACATGTAAGCACCATATGATCGGAATGTGATGTTGCTATCCAGAAATGGAAAATTATAAATATCAATATTCAAATCATCACGTTTATCATACAGCTTGGTGGAAAATATGTTGAAATCTCTATTCTGCAAACTTACCATATTCATGATTTCGTCGTGTTTGTTATGTTCATTACTTTTTCTTTATGGAATTGAGTGAAAGATACTCAAATATATTTAGCGACATATATGAAAGACATATATGGCAATTGTTTTGAAGAGGTAGAAAAAAAGAACATGTACCCTTCCTGAACACCTGGTCCTTTTGTTTTCTCCTCTTCAAAGTTTATTAATATCAAACTTTCGCTTGTGCAGATTTCATTCTCGTTTCATAAGTTTTGAATTTTATTTATTTTTTCTAAACAAGTCAATATTTCCATGTTGTGTTCATGACAGCTGATCCATGTAGCGCTGTAAATGTGTTGCCAAATATGGACAAACGAGGACTCAACGACCATCCAAACAAAACCCATCCAATTGACGACCGTTACAACATTCCCAGCGGCGGACGTTGGTACAGAGTTGAGGGACAAGAAATGCTTACTAACATATCTACTATTGGATTACAGACGTGCGGCACTACCTTCCCTATATACCTGGATGGTAAAACGTTTTTTCCCCATCGTTATCAAACATAAATCAATTTTTCATGTGAGTAAATAAAACGTCAGAAATCTGACTGATAGCAATGGGAATTTCCGGTTAAAAGAGAACCGAAATTTCGCTTTTAATATTGTTTTCAAGGCATCATTATTATAAACTCAGCAACATGATGTCTGATGTGAGTTCTGTAATGATATCCTATCAGTAACAAAAGTCAAAAACATAATCATAACTGGTTCGATATATATATATTTGACCTGTTTCCCAAAAGTGATGAATTTTCTCTGTGCTGCTTACTATTCAAAACATCATTTTCGTATTATTGTCATGCAAGGCTACTCCGTGTCATATTGTTGTTGTTGCTCATATGGTTTCCCATTTTCACAGGAGTCGATTGAAACCTGTGTTTGTGTTTACGTCACTTTTCTCCCACTGCTTTATACACTATTTTGTTGGCTTCTCTGTTGGTTTTCATTTATTATTATTGTTATGAAGGAAACGTACCAAAAGAAAAAGACGGATTAGTAAACGGAACAGCGTGCGTTATTACCTTCGGTGACATGTGTGCTCATCCACAGACTATCAAGTTAAAAGCATGTCAGGATTTCACCGCGTATTTCCTTCTCCCTCCTCTTGGTACCGCATCAGCGTATTGTTTTGGTAAGTATGATTACAAGACAACAATTTCCAAGAATCTCTCACGATTTTGGATAATAACCTCTAATCATTATATACTTACATTTCTTTTTGCTGAACAAGTGATGATTAATACAAATGTTACACAATCAGTCACTGTGGTATCCGGTATTGCTCTCACACAAGTTAGTTATTATCTGAATGTTACAAAATAAAAGGAAAAGAAAAGGGTTAAAAACATTATCATGAGGTTTTGCAGATTTTTTTTTAACTATGGAAAAAACTGAGAAGTTGATAACGAGAGAAATACCATCTTCCACAAAAACATTATTTAAGATATCAGTTGGGGTGTGTTATATGACCAGTAGTCAAATACCATTAATTTATATAGATTGTACAAAACTAACAACTTCAGAAATACGTGGAAATAATATTTCGAAAAATCGAAATAAAATAAGTATATGACATGTCAATAAAAGGGCTCCGTACTGGCAATCTACTTACCGCATCTTTTAATTTCCAAAAAAAAGTATGAAGTACCATTTAGGTCAAAGTGCGGTTAATACAATTAAAAGACTTTCGGGTTCGTTTTTAATGTTTGGAGAACGTTTTCGACTCAGGTAAGTAAGAATTTTCTCTCTTTTAGCACACACGAATGACTGCTTAGTTTACAGTCAGTTTTACCTAAATCATGGCCGTGATTCACGTCATAGTTTCTATATGTACCGTCCGCTTGTCCACACAATGCTCCGCGAGTTGAATGACATAACGTATTATCGTATACAACAATAAAAGCACAGTAATTATGAAATGTTGGTGTAGAGATCAATATTATTAACAATTCTATGTTTTATCTTTTAGTTGCCAAAGAAAGCAGCAGTAAGTATTTTTCTATACATTACGTAGTTTAACAGCAAGAGCTGTCCTTATACGATAAGTCAAATTATAAGCCCAAATATAAATATCTACATGTATATCTATAAAATCAATAATCTAGTGCTTTATAACAAGATAAATGCAATGAGTCATCACATTCAATAGAAATATGTCTCTATCGACACATGGACTTTTTATACTAATTTTCTAGATTCTAGAGCAAACTCTTTACATTAAACAAACAATAACAATTTAAAAAACCTTCTAATGCACACGCTGTTTATTGTAACGTTCTATACGCTGTTTATTGTAACGTTCTGATGCATACGCTGTTTATTGTAACGTTCTATACGCTGTTTATTGTAACGTTCTATACGCTGTTTATTGTAACGTTCTTATGCATACGCTGTTTATTGTAACGTTCTATATGCTGTTTATTGTAACGTTCTAATGCATACGCTGTTTATTGTAACGTTCTTATGCATACGCTGTTTATTGTAACGTTCTAATGCATACGCTGTTTATTGTAACGTTCTAATGCATACGCTGTTTATGGTAACGTTCTATACGCTGTTTATTGTAACGTTCTAATGCATACGCTGTTTATTTAACGTTCTATACGCTGTTTATTGTAACGTTCTAATGCATACGCTGTTTATTGTATTGTTCTATATGCTGTTTATTGTAACGTTCTAATGCATACGCTGTTTATTGTAACGTTCTAATGCATACGCTGTTTATTGTAACGTTCTAATGCATACGCTGTTTATTGTAACGTTCATATGCTGTTTATTGTAACATTCTATACGCTGTTTATTGTAACGTTCTTATGCTGTTTATTGTAACATTCTATACGCTGTTTATTGTAACGTTCTATATGCTGTTTATTGTAATGTTCCATACGCTGTTTATTGTAACGTTCTAATGCATACGCTGTTTATTGTAACGTTCTATACGCTGTTTATTGTAACGTTCTTATGCATACGCTGTTTATTGTAACGTTCTATATGCTGTTTATTGTAACGTTCTAATGCATACGCTGTTTATTGTAACGTTCTTATGCATACGCTGTTTATTGTAACGTTCTAATGCATACGCTGTTTATTGTAACGTTCTAATGCATACGCTGTTTATTGTAACGTTCTTATGCATACGCTGTTTATTGTAACGTTCTATATGCTGTTTATTGTAACGTTCTAATGCATACGCTGTTTATTGTAACGTTCTTATGCATACGCTGTTTATTGTAACGTTCTAATGCATACGCTGTTATTGTAACGTTCTAATGCATACGCTGTTTATGGTAACGTTCTATACGCTGTTTATTGTAACGTTCTAATGCATACGCTGTTTATTTAACGTTCTATACGCTGTTTATTGTAACGTTCTAATGCATACGCTGTTTATTGTATTGTTCTATATGCTGTTTATTGTAACGTTCTAATGCATACGCTGTTTATTGTAACGTTCTAATGCATACGCTGTTTATTGTAACGTTCTAATGCATACGCTGTTTATTGTAACGTTCATATGCTGTTTATTGTAACATTCTATACGCTGTTTATTGTAACGTTCTTATGCTGTTTATTGTAACATTCTATACGCTGTTTATTGTAACGTTCTATATGCTGTTTATTGTAATGTTCCATACGCTGTTTATTGTAACGTTCTAATGCATACGCTGTTTATTGTAACGTTCTATACGCTGTTTATTGTAACGTTCTTATGCATACGCTGTTTATTGTAACGTTCTATATGCTGTTTATTGTAACGTTCTAATGCATACGCTGTTTATTGTAACGTTCTTATGCATACGCTGTTTATTGTAACGTTCTAATGCATACGCTGTTTATTGTAACGTTCTAATGCATACGCTGTTTATGGTAACGTTCTATACGCTGTTTATTGTAACGTTCTAATGCATACGCTGTTTATTTAACGTTCTATACGCTGTTTATTGTAACGTTCTAATGCATACGCTGTTTATTGTATTGTTCTATATGCTGTTTATTGTAACGTTCTAATGCATACGCTGTTTATTGTAACGTTCTAATGCATACGCTGTTTATTGTAACGTTCTAATGCATACGCTGTTTATTGTAACGTTCATATGCTGTTTATTGTAACGTTCTATACGCTGTTTATTGTAACGTTCTTATGCTGTTTATTGTAACATTCTATACGCTGTTTATTGTAACGTTCTTATGCTGTTTATTGTAACATTCTATACGCTGTTTATTGTAACGTTCTATATGCTGTTTATTGTAATGTTCCATACGCTGTTTATTGTAACGTTCTAATGCATACGCTGTTTATTGTAACGTTCGTATGCATACGCTGTTTATTGTAACGTTCTTATGCATACACTGTTTATTCTAACGTTCTAATGCATACGCTGTTTATTGTAACGTTCTTATGCATACGCTGTTTATTGTAACGTTCTTATGCATACGCTGTTTATTGTAACGTTCTAATGCATACGCTGTCTATTGTAACGTTCTATATGCTGTTTATTGTAACGTTCTATATGCTGTTTATTGTAACGTTCTTATGCATACGCTGTCTATTGTAACGTTCTATATGCTGTTTATTGTAACGTTCTAATGCATACGCTGTTTATTGTAACGTTCTATATGCTGTTTATTGTAACGTTCTAATGCATACGCTGTTTATTGTAACGTTCTAATGCATACGCTGTTTATTGTAACGTTCTAATGCATACGCTGTTTATTGTAACGTTCTTATGCTGTTTATTGTAACGTTCTATACGCTGTTTATTGTAACGTTCTTATGCTGTTTATTGTAACGCTCTATACGCTGTTTATTGTAACGTTCTATACGCTGTTTATTGTAATGTTCCATACGCTGTTTATTGTAACGTTCCATACGCTGTTTATTGTAACGTTCTAATGCATACGCTGTTTATTGTAACGTTCTTATGCATACGCTGTTTATTGTAACGTTCTATACGCTGTCTATTGTAACGTTCTAATGCATACGCTGTTTATTGTAACGTTCTTATGCATACGCTGTTGATGGTAACGTTCTAATGCATACGCTGTCTATTGAAACGTTCTATACGCTGTTTATTGATAATTTATAATGTTCCCACAATTACGTCGAAAAAATATGACAAACAAGTAAAACATTAAATTTTGCTGTCCCAAATCCCTGTAATAATAATGATGACTTCATAGATATATGATAGAGAAGTTATTTGTCAGCTGTACATGAAACTCACCTACCGGTCCTGTAGGCCGTAAGTTAACCCGTCCATAAGACATTGACTGTTAATCAGATATCCAGGTAATTTTTAACATCAGATTGTGTCTTCGCTTTACTTCTATGCTAGGCATCTGGACTCTGATCTCCTAGTTATTGAACAAGCGGTCAAGTCTATGACAAGCCATAGAAACACAGTGTTCTAGTTTACTGTTAGATAACTAATCTATCCGACATCGTACTGTCTTTGGTCCCGATATTCTATGATATCAACATTAAATATCCATAAAATGCTATCAAGTTCCAGTTTCATGACCGTATGATCAGTTATCCTGACACATGTTTAATTTCCTTTGCAGACAAAATGGTTTCGGTATATTAAATATCACAACATGAATAGATTTAGACAAACGCCATTCTTGATGTTTGTGATAATTGTACAAAATGTTTTTTTTTAAATGTTGCCTCTGGTTTGGAATTAGCAATATGACTACAATAAAGTGGAAAACGATGTTAATATATTGAAGAGTGGAATGAACGTAATGGGATACAGATATATATTCAGTGCAATCAGACATATTCCAAATACAGCAGTAATGCGCTACACACAATATTTCTCTATCTCATTGTGTTCATACCAACGTTAACGCAATGAAAAAATCTATTAAATTGTTATATATATGAAAAAATGATAACCATTTACAACATTTATGAAAAATAGCACTTTTGCAGACAGACACCAATGGAAAGAGAGAACACAAATCATCTTATAAAATTGACAAATCATAAAGCCCAATACAGAAAACACAAAGCCAGACATCTGAAGGGGTTGTTCACTTGTGACACAACCCTTCAATTTCATGGTAAACTCTCATCCCCATGGAAGTCGGCAAACAATGCAACTCAAATGACTTTATTAGACGTCAAACCCGACCCCCGTCTTGAATGTAAAGCTAGAATTTCGAGAGGATTCGTGCCACCAAAAGCGATAACTAGGTTGCCGTCATATCTTCAGTCTCAGTTTAAACTCTCTCTGAGCGTTTTACAGTTTATTATGTACGTTAGTGGTATTAAGAAGTACGATTTTCTCTGTGAATATAAGAATAGATTTACAATGAAATTTATTTTTGTGTTGACTTTTTTTTTTATTTGAATTAAAGGACTATATTTTGTCGCTCGCTGCGAACTTATGAGTGCATAGTGCTCACGATAAGCACAGTCAGCTTTGTCTTGTCATATATATCCTAAATTTACCGGTAATTTGGCTAGTTTGATTGTGAAAATATAATAAATAGAGCATTTAATAGTGCTTGTGAAAATTGCTAGAATGTTGGACACACTTGTAAAACATCTGTTATTGCTGAAAACACTATTAAATATATTCTATATATGTTTGATGTTGTAATTATCTGAAATTAACGAAACAGATGACGCAGGAAACAGAAAAGAAAAGCTTGCTGGTGCAGTTTACATACTTGATAAGTATATCTATTTAAGGTACAGCGCCTACTTATGTCATTCCGAAGCCAACGGTATCGCCCAAACTAGTGACGGAGGGAATCTACCAAAGACTACATTTTATTTGTACATTTGTTCCATCACATGAAGACCTGTATTATCAAGTCTTTTGGTTCATCGATGGAAATCCAATATATGTGTCGAAGTTGGCACAGAAAACTGCCCTAGAAACGCTAAAACTTCAGGAAAAAACAGGACAACTTGAAAAGCTTGGCATTAATGTAAGTATGTAACAATGATTTTTTTCAGTGTTGCAATATGGACAGCGAAGGGTGTTTACAACTGTTAACAATACTAAAGTACACATACAGTAATAACTGTTTTAAATAACTTCATAATTATGTATTTAATATACATGCATATAAAACAGCTAAAAATATATTTCATTTTATAGAAAATTTGTCATCAGATATTATTGATTTTTTAATGTACATTGGGTTTTTTAATACTAACTCATACAAATTAATTGTACAAAGTCTTTTTTCTGTTAAAGGTTGCATGTTCTGTTCGTTCTAAGAATAAACCGGAAGGCGTACCTGGACCTATGTCATCGAAAAGTGATCAGTTCTATGCTGGAATCACGGTATGTAGACTTCAAACATTAATTCAAAGGCAAAATCTCGATATATTGCAGCACATCTTTTTTCGCAGGTGTCAGAATATGTGTTGCAGGAACTCATTATTTTTTCAAATATTATTTTTTGATAATTTCCCGAATACTAGTCATTCTTTTATTTTTGCGGTAACCTCTTAAAAGATAATTTTCCGACGTTCATAAGTAATATGTTTAACAAAGCCTCAACAAAAGTAATGGATATTAAGAAATAGACAATTTGAAAATACTTAATTCTGATTTGATAAGAAATAAATAATGTCAAATGCAAAAATTTGATTCGATTCATGCCGTCAAAATTGTAGTCCGCACGCAAAATGTTTTCAAATCTTCATATAAAGCACGCCTTATAAGAACAGCTATTAATTACAATGTATGTTAAAAAAAAACCAAAAAAAAACAACCAAATAAACAAAAACAAAAAAACACACACAAAATTATTTCACTATTAATTTTTATCATTTTATTATTTTGGAATTCATTTCCCACTTCCAGTCATATATTAGATTAGCGGAGTACATCCTTAAAGTTGGGCATAAGAGTTTTCAGCTTATGTTAAAGAAAAGTCCATGCTATTTCGTTAAAATCAATTTGATATTGAATTCTATCCTACTCTCGGTCAATCATAAAAGGAGTACAATGTCTAAGTAAGGCAGGAGAGTTTTCTGGTTTAATTGGCAATATCACAATGATTTCATAAATTTTGCAATTTTCATTTACCTGACCTATTTAGAAGACCTTCAAATAAATGTGTATATTCTAAACCGTTCCACTATTTTAATGAATTAAAACTTGACGTGCAGGTGATGGCAAACCTCGGGGACTAGTAGTTCACCATCAGTACTGCAATCTCGAAGATTATCAAAAAAACAAAGTAATAACACCATTTAATACAAGGTCTGATAGTAGCACAAAGCAATGAATCAAACTGCAACATACACCTGTTTCGTCCTTCTAGGACTGGTCAGTATTGCTACAACATACACCTGTTTCGTCCTTCTAGGACTAGTCAGTATTGCTACAACATACACCTGTTTCGTCCTTCTAGGACTGGTCAGTATTGCTACAACATACACCTGTTTCGTCCTTCTAGGACTGGTCAGTATTGCTACAACATACACCTGTTTCGTCCTTCTAGGACTAGTCAGTATTGCTACAACATACACCTGTTTCGTCCTTCTAGGACTGGTCAGTATTGCTACAACATATACCTGCCTCAATTTAATTTGCTACAACATACACCTGTTTCGACAGCTAAGTATTGCTACATTACATGTTAACTGATGTAAAAGCCTCAATCTAATTCTTCAGAGACGGCTAAGTTAATTACATTTAAGATGTGCTCCGTGGTAAGAAGTCATATGAGTAGCATTAAGATAAACACACAATTCTAAAAAGTAGAAGACAACCTAGAAAATTTAAACAAATGTTGTCATTTTCTAAGTTAGATAATTCCATTCTTAATTGCCAAGTGCGCAATTGTAAGTCACCTAGGTGTGGCTCGTGATATATGATAATTGTATGTTGTTATTTATTTTTTTGAGAACGGATTAAATTTCATTTTTAAATCAAATACGAGTTTCAGATCAAAACATGTTATTGCTTGTATTACTTGTTCTTAATACTATGAAGTTTTATATTGGCCAAACAAGTAATACACTCAGAATCAATTTCATCACAAATAAACACAACTCTAAACAGGCCAAAAATAAATTTCACCACACTGGTTACGTGTGTTTTGTTAAAAAAAATAATGACTTCACGTCAATTATGACGTTATTACAATACTTCACCTTTCAACATAAACCTTGAGAGCCCCTGAAGAGGTGAAAACGCGGTTGAGTTTGTTTGTATATAATATATATGTATATCAACTTTGTGACCTAATTTGATTTAAGATGTTTTTATCTTATATAATTGCTCCATGAAACACAGATCAGAAAATCCAAAAGTTTGCAGAAACCGATGACTTACAATTTGTCATTCTTTTTTCACTTGGTTTATTTCTACAGGTAAAAACGCCAACAGTAACGGTTTATCGCGGTGCCACAACACATAAACCATCGTACATTTCAGTGAAACCCACCGTACCTATTGGTTGTCCAACGATATTGGACCAATGTTTTGTTACCGTCGAAGTAAACATCCCATCCCAATACCAGCATTGTACGGGAAGTCTTGGCACGGTACAGCAAACGAGCAACAATGGTTGCGGTGTAAAGATTAGTCATCAGGACTGGGATAAGGAACATAAACTTGAAGTGTTCTGGGTTGATAATCAGGCATATAGTATTGATTCAGACAGCTATAAAGTCAGTATGAGTACCACTGTGAACGATTATCGTCCCATATGGGGTCAACTGAGTCTTTCTGACGTCAGTGTAAGTATGATACTTCGGTTAGTGAATTAATTGCTGTAATACTTTACCAAAGTACCTCACCTTCCTACTGTGTTTGTCTTCACATCATCAAGGAAGCCATTTAGCATTTTCTATCCTCAGCTACAAGTTTCAAAAAGATGAAAACTTTTTTTTTCTGTTTTTTTTTCTATCTCACCTAAAATGATGGATTAGGTTTATAATACGCTATTGTTTCATTTCTATTTTGTTGCGTCACTTTTAATGAGTTCAATCCTAGGAATTCAGTTAGGCGTTCAAAACGCAGAATGGCTGTGCGGATCAGTCCAATAGTAAATATTCTTGTAAATGTCACTTTCATTCTAAATAACTTTTGAAGATGAAATGTTGCATTGGCTTTTAAGTTTATAACTGGGGAGATTTTGGTCGGCAGCTCCATTAAATGGCGTTCGTGCGTTAAGTCTATAATGAAGGTTAGACTTGTTGATATATTCTTATATTCTTGTATATTACATTTGAATGTATTAAGGTCCAGGTCAGCGACCAGACTCACATATGGAAAGGAAAAGAATGCCATGCTATCTGTGACCCACATATGCACACGTTTGATAATCGGTAATATTGCTTATCATTGAATCTAGAGTGCAACATTAACGATTCAAACAAAGTTTGGTGATATAGTTTGAAGATCTTTAACTAACTAGACGAGAAATATATGTTAATACGTCTAGATGTGTCAATTAAAGCGAGAAAAAGAAGAAATATGAAGCTATGATTTTCGCATACTACTATTTGACAACTAAGCACAAGTCGTTATAGAACGTAACATAGAAATATCTATAATTGAAGCATTGTATCTTTTAATTTTTGTGTCAACCTCTTTCATCTTGGTTGAAAATAAAGCGCTTTAATTGTATGACAGTTGACACTTATTGTACGTTTGCAGCTACTACGATAATCAGAACCCCGGGACTTTTGTACTATATGAGCACGATGATCACTCTAGGAAGGTGCAGGTAAAACCTTAACTATTATTACAGTAGTGGAAGCAGGTTGATTTATTCACAATTGATATAAGCCAAATGTCCATGTATAGGTCACCAAAGGTTACAGATCAAATGGGTCATAAAATCAATAAATAGTTATATTTCTCATTTTAACATCTTATTACAATGATAAGTTATGTCAAGATATAGGTCATTAAATGTCACATGTCAATTTCAATCGATATATATTATATACTACTGATATTGATTGATTGTTCATTTGTTTTTAAATGTCAATGAGCATTTTCAAGTTACGTAATAGTTTTTCAAGTTAAGCTGATAATACACATCTTTGAGAAATATTCTATAGCCTTGTACGACATGAAGCTGGATGTATTTGATTCTCGTTAGTTTGCATGTTGGTTCTGTTGTTGTATGCCCTGTTCTCATTTGAGAATGTGACATCACTTACTTCGATTGACCAATGTTTACATAGCGGGTGTCGTCTTATTCTCCCTGTATGTTTTCAGGAGTCTCCATGTAAACATTTCTTTTGTTTATATTTTGTCCTAGTTTTATGGAATTTGAGTTTGAATTATGATTATGTTGCCATGGTCGTATGTTTTTTTTTTTTTTTTTGTTACTTGATACTCTCTGGCGGAGAGTTACATACAAATACAGAATTCTTTATATGGTTTAATTTCAAACACTTCGTGCTGTTACTTGTTACATGTTAATCTATGACATCGTGCAACGTCTACTGGAGATGTCCTAAGTAATGACGTATAATTATCTTACCAATGGATTAGATTTACATTCACAATGAAATCGCCATTTTCGTCCCTGGGTTTACTCTGAACATTGTAGAACGACTATATCAAAAACGTGGCTTTATCTGCTTATTTGATTATAGTAAAATGTTAAATGCTGAAACGCATTTATTTGTAAGATTGTTCACTGATCAAAAGAAAATAAACTCATAATTTTGTGAATTTTCTTCTAAAATTAAAAAAAAAATAAAACAATTTTGAAAAAAATAGATACATTGTTATATTATGAAATACATTGTATTTGTTGAACTATTACGTCTAGGTACAAATGAAAGTCACGTCCTGTAACTCTCCTCTTCACGTTTATTGTGTCTGTGCTATTGCTGCCCGTGCTGGTGGTGATGTGTTTGTCATCGACCGATGTCCAGGTGTCTACCGACCAATATTTGAATTCCGCTCATGTAAAGATCACATTCTTGATGTTAGGAAAATCAATGAGAATGACTACAAGGTGAGAGGCAAAGATAAACAAGTACTTAATAAAACTGTTCGAACTTGAAAATAGGGAAACTGTAAATCATAAAACATACTGAGCGGGGAATTTATCTACTGTGTAAGTATTTATTTCACAAAAAAAAACAGTTTGTATATTTCGAAATACCTTGTGATAGTTGTCGTGTGTCAGATACTCTTGTAACAAGTTTCAATCTTGAAAACTAAACAAAGAGGAACTAAAAGCATGTGGTTTACGTGAAACATTAAAGATAAGCTGACAACATCCGACCGTTTGCTCCGTTTGCATCTTTATAAGACCTGTGTTCACTCTGACGAGTTCATGTTTCATGGTTTTATTTTATCGCCTTCATCATTTGAAATACCTTAAAGAAATGTGTCTACTGATATAACAGTTCTTCCTTTGCAGTTAATTCATAGCAACAAATGAGTTTATAATGATTATAGTGTATTTGGTGCATTCACAACCTGGACTTATCTTTCAGCTTAATGTGTCATTTTATCAATCATATGAGTACGTTTTATCGACAGATTTATTTCCCAAGTGGAAGTTACCTTAATGTTAATCTGCGGCATTACACTGGGAAGGATGTGATGGATCTGCACCTGTATCCTTCGACCTCTGACGCAGACCACACTCAAGGATTATGTGGCACACTGAATGGCGACAAAAATGACGATTTTCAAACTCCAGATGGAACTCTTGCCGGAAATGCAAATAGTTTCTCAGTGTCCTGGAGGTAATTATGATAATAAAATGTCTTAAGGCTTACATCATTACAATTCATATTTAAAACATTTTGGGTTTCCACAACACACTGTAAAAAACCGTGCTTACATCGTTCAAACGTCGTCCACACATCCTGCAAATTTTGTCCACACATCGCCCGAAGTGAGCAATAAAAACATAAATATGTAATTGTTTGGCGGATAAATATCACAAAGAATTATATTTACTATATAATATATAAAATATAGTTCAACAGAGAATCATTTTTATTCTAGAAATGCATTTTTATTCGTATAAACTTTACAAAATTTGATTAACATTTTTGATCTTGACATCAACACATTTTTTATCTTTTCATCTTTTATCTTCTTTCACTTTCTATCTGGTAACGCACCGGTATCCATATTATCAAGGGCCGCCATAATGTTCTTCAGAATTAATATTTTATCAATTTCAAGAGTGAATGATAACTTTGGCTTGAACGAGTCACAGCCATATACAACGAAAATAGTTGCTAGCTGCTGTTTATTTATTTTTTTTTATAAAAGAACGTAACTGAAAGCATCTGAAAAGCAATGTAAATATCGTGTGCTGTTGATAAGTTTGTATCGGTCGTAGGTACCCAGTAATATGTTTATTGTCAACATCAGTCTAATAAGAATTACATATAGGGTTCGTTTATACCTACCTGCTGCCGATAATGATATGAAGTTTGATAGAAAATAATCGCCGATCACTGAGTCTTGAGAATTATAGTAAATTGCTATGTGCCAAGACAAATAGGTTTTTATTTAATTTGTATTCTTAAGCTCCGTTTATTTCTTTGTGATGTAATTATTCTCACAAAAGCAGATACAACAGTCAGTAACATTTATATGTAGTTCATAAAAATCTCCAAATACAAGAACGCTGTACTGTATCTCGGAATTGCCAACACACTGTATACACACCATATTTCTTTCCATATGATATATATGATGTGAAGTGCTCAGAACATAGGTTCATTCTACCACTGTCGATTGATATCGGTACTTAATACATCTTATATCATACATATATATATGTATTAGTATTTGTATTTCAAAAAAATTTGAAAAAATCTTAAGATGTATTTGCATATATATTACCTGACACATGATTCGCATGACCTAATTCTCTATATTATCCACCTTATACATATTTCTTCAAATTAACTCGCTCATTTTAAGCCATTGTATTCTTTCTACTTTTTAAGTATTTTCAAGGAGCTTCAGAAACATGAAAGGTAAAAAAATTAAAGGTAAAAATGCAAGACCAATATGTCTTTAGTTTCCAATCGTTCCATTCGACAAATATTTTCCAGTGTAATTATTCTATTTGAAAATGGAATTACATTTTAATGACATGTTCATTAAATGTACTCCTGTTAGTTTTGATATTAAGGTTCTTGCTTCCTTATAGAATCAGTTTAAGTTTAGATGGAGATTCAAAATGACTTGATATTTTAACTAAATAAATTGAAGGAAACAACAGTGCAGGTCACTATATGTGTTAGATTTTAGTATAAGGGGCCGTCCAGATAGTATCTATCAAGGAGATATGCTTAGGATATAACTTATATAGTATATGCTGCAAAGGGTATACATGTTAATGGTGAACAAAATTAATTAATATATATATATATAAATCAATTCTAGATAATTGCAAAAATTAGGAACATGTATGAATCTACATGTTCCCATTTTCTCTCTGGTGTCGACTAATTACTACAGTTAAAACATACTCTACATAACCTATTCAGTTAAAATCTATGAAAATAAGTTAAAATAACAAGTTTTATATATTATCACTAATTTTTAACTAATCCAAACACAGTATTTGTAGCGATTACTCAATTTCCCCCATATATTACCTGTACCAATAAATAATGACGACAGTGTTCGGGAATGATAAAAGAGCACGTATTTTCTGTATGGTACTAATCTTCGTCAATCTGAATTGAATTACCAATAAAACACGTGTGGTAATATTTCATTCTTATTTATTTGAATAAATGTGACTAGAAACTACTGATCCGAAGTAATGATAACAGAGCCCGCTATAAACAGAGCGCCAGAGACGTGTTGGAGAAAAACGTGTAAAGAATAGAATCTTTCTGTATCATGATGGATATCACTCGACTCGATTAAATACGAAATATGAAATACTATTAAAGTATCGCAGTGTTATAAGCATATAAATGAAGAGTATCATTATACTACAATTCGTCCAGAGTACGTTTAAAGTAAACGATGTCTTATCAAAATTAGAGTCAGATTGTCGAAGGATTATGTAGATATCGTTACTGAGTTACTTGATGATAAAATTAACATAATAGTTGCTTTTATTAAAATACATCCAACATAAGACATATCTCTAAATAGCTCATGACATAAACGAATTGAAAGTTCAAATAACAATCTAAAATAAGAATTAAAGTAAAGATTCTTTAACACGCATGTTCTGTTATGATAGATCCCAGATCTAAAATGTCTATTTATATATCATAGCGTGCTTTCCAAAAACGACTGAAAATATGTGAACAGAAAAAAAAACCAAACTCGAATTCAGTACACTAGGGCAATGTATGAACTGAAGAAAAATTGTCACGGAGACACATGTAAAACCTACAAGAAGAGCGATACCAGGTGTCCGGAGAGGTAAACATCTTCTGCTTCATTGCCATGTAAATATTGGTCAATACGAAATATAGCACAATATTGCATACATATTATCTTACCTGTATGTTATGAAAAGAACATGGTTGTGAAGCAAAAAATGGCAGTTGTTGTCTTATGTCCTTATTAATTCTTTGATTGTATATTCATTAAGTAATCTTATTGATCATCTTGTTTGTAAAATTGCACAGAGTTCAAGACAAGGACAACCTAATAACCATGAATGCGGATTCATTGGATAAGCTGGACAGCTGGAATAAAACCGTACAGTTTTGCACATGTAATGCACCGAATAACATTGACGCACCAATAAACAATATCACGTGTTCCCAAAGTACTATAGCAACTTGCGTAAAGAAAGATGAAGCTTCTGTCAAAAAGCAACAACGGTGTAGGGTGAAGAATACCCGTGCGCTACGGAAAGAGTCAGTGATGACGTCACCAGGACATTTTAGTAGACGACAGGTAAGGTCATTAAAGTAAGAGCTTCAAACAAGATTGTCCCTTTTTAAAATACATTTTATATTAACTAATACTTATATCTTGTTAATGAAAATCAGCTAACGAAAATGAAGTTTTCTTTTCAACGCAAGTTAATCATTTAAACCCGACCCATCCCTAACAGGAACGCAATGTCTGTCTGATCGTAATTAAGGTCGTCTGTTGACAACCTTTGTCCGGATGACTCCCTATGAACTTGTAAACGACTTTTAATGAAACTGAACGGGAATTTGATGTAAGGAACTATATATATCTATATAAGCTTTAGTTCTTTTACAACGATTGCGAAACAAGTCATTTTAACATATACTAACCACTCGCGTTAGCCCAGAGGTAGGGAGAGGGCCCGGAAAAAGAGGATTTGGTGTCTGCATTTTGCCTTTCGCCTTTTTCATACACACCTTCTATAATTATACAAATTATCTTGAGGAACACGGCATACATCATGATATGTCTTTAAAGACCGTAACTAATGCCTGCGTTGATAAATCGGGTGCAGTAAAGGTGGCATTTTGACCTTAATTTTGATTGTACAGGCTACCAGATTATTTAGGGTTGTACTGTTTGGCAGTTCTAGCTATACCCCATTGTGAATGAAAGACAGCTAAATAGACAACAAAAATAACAACAACAAAAACAAAAACAAAAAAACAAAACAAAACAAAAACAAAAAGAAAAAATACGTAACGTTACAGTGTCGGCAGGAAGACATAACTACAGTTTTTATTGTCAGTTTCAAGAGCTGCTGTCTAGGATACAACTTCATACGAAAAATTAGAGCCTAATTAATGTTACAATACATTGTTACAATAACAATTTGGATATCCCTTTTATTCCCATTTTGTGACTCATCAGTTTAGCTACTGTATTCATTGAATAAAAAAAACAAGATGACTCGGGAACAGCATTAATACAGCTCTGTAAATTAGAGTTTCATTTTTTTCTAAAATTTGTGAATAAATATATCGATACTAACGGACATTTATGTTGTTTGTATTCGGTGAGTGATTTTCTCAAATGGCCAACAAGGCGTGTTGCTATTCACTTGCTGTCTCTGTATTCTACAGATATCACAAACGGTCTTGCAGTATGTTTAACCATTAACAAATTAAGAAAATGTGAAACATAGGTATCAGATATAAGTGACATTCGGATAAAGCTTGCTTCGGTTCAGTTTTGGTTTGTCGAGATAACCTCTTGTCCTGGATTTGTTTTGAGTGAAACATTTACATTACTGTATCGTTTTTCCTCCTGTAAAATGTCTGTAGATTGATTTATGCTGACTAGTTTGTTTAAATTTGTCTACTTTTAAACTCATATCAAGTCTTATAAATTAATTTCTATGACAGAGAGAAGTACGTCGACTGTGGAATGAATCCTCTGCGAGAACGTATTGTGAGACGTTTTTACAAAAGTCTTCATCATTCGAGGCATGCTCCAGGGACATAACCGTCACCAATCCTCAGTCTTCAATAGACACGTGTGTTCTCGACATAATGGTTTGTCTTAACATATTGTGTATTACTTGTTTTGATAACAATAGCCCTGGAGATTAAAGTTTAGTAGAAAAGAAAACTGATAATTGAATTTAACGTTGTAATATCAATTACATATCCGTAATGTTTATATCTTCTAACAACGAATTTAACTTATTAGGTTGATACGCCTTGCATTGACCCACATTTCACATTTTTCTTTTTTAAACATGCAGGCTACCCAAACAACCATATGGGCTACCTCTGCTAGGGAAGCTCTGAAGTCCGTCTGTCTGAAGGAACTCAAACAGAACACAACGTACCAGGAGGAAGATTCGGATGACCAGCCCTCCATTTCCCAGCAAATCAAGGAGATCACGTGTCCGAACGAGTGTAGTGGACATGGACAGTGTAACAATGGTGAGAAGATTATGGCGAATTGTGGGGGAACGTAAAATAACCACTGTCGTGCTATTGGAACTAAAGGTAGCAAACAACCAATGTATCAAACAAGTAGCATGAACACGAAACCTAGTTCATTTTTTTTTATTTCAGTTTGAGTTAAGGTCTACTTATGGTTTCCCAAACAACATGAAACTACCCATAAATCATTATGAATAATGCATATTTGTATTATTGCATTATGCAAAATCAAAATCGGTTAAACTAAGGCAAACTCTACACAAGAGACATGTGTACAGGTAGACGCTTTAGATAATGTGCAAGTTGAATAATGCCAGGTATCCAGCAGTGCTTCTGCTTCATAGCTATTACCCTCCAGGTAATATAGGTTTATCAAATTAATGCCACGTTTTAAAATGTGAACCAGGTATATCGTATAATTGATCTCGAGTTTAGATTTTGTTGATATCTTCTTGTTTTTCAGGAACATGTACATGTGATGAAAACTTTGGAGCTGCTGATTGTTCTGTCGACGTTCGTGTACCTCCTCATATTTACGGTGTTAATATGGACTCCAATGGTACTTGTGATATCCGTACTTGTGATTCGGCGATTGTTGAAGGGGAGACCTTTGTAGAATTTGGGAACCTCACTTGTCACTATGAACTAGTTGCGGTAAGAAAATAGAGGCCGTAACAGTGTCTTCTCTAATCCTACATGGATTGTTACATATCTGAAAAATCACTCTAAAATTAAAAAAAGAAAAAAAAAAAAACAGAATTGTTTATACACACATCATATATTCAAAAACGTATGGTATTGGTTTGAATGTCATTACAATATTTAATGCCTGTGGTGGTTGTTAAGTACTTCATATAATTCATACCCGATACATAATGAAGTCCTGAATGGTTGTTCTTGCCATGCAAAATGTATCTGTAGCAATGATAAGAAAAATAGAATATCATTTTTTATAATCTCTCTTTGCCAGATAAATTTGAATGGTACCGTGGCGTTTGCTACCAATATGACATATCCTGGTCAGTTAAACACTCTAGTTGAGGTATTTTGTCCTCTGCCGGATGTATGGAGTAAACGTGCATCTGGCCGTTCAACGGATGTATTTAGTCCATTTCCATTCGTTTATCGGTGGTCAGTTGGAGTCAGTAATGACGGAGAACATTTTGGAGAACAGACAGAACTGATTGTTTACAATGCGGAGTGCCAGATTATAGTTGATGTCAACCAATCACTTTTTGATTTAAAGGTAGCATCTCTTTATACGTCTGACTAAAGATTTATATCGACCGAATGGGCGTGGATCACATAAATATCCGTCAATGATTTCATTCAATAAATGATAACAGCTTAAATTTATAAACAAAACCCAGAAGATAGTAAATACACGGCTTCTGTTCATAGAAATATTGTAGAATAACTTCTGATCTGGATATAACGCTGGGTTTGTTACATGGGTTCATATTGAATTGTCATTGGTAATGGATAAGAGTTAAGCTAGGTATCATCTTTGATGGAACCCAGATCGATCTTGTTAAGTGTATCGGATGAACGCATAATTGATTCGGAGTCAACTTTTTATACACTGTTTTATAGTTAGTTTTATACATCAGAAAGTCCGGCGACTGTTGGATATTGTTGGACATGTAATTTTTCATCCGGATAAAATCAATATATTTTTTCAGGGCAAAACAAGTCAGTTTTAAAAGATAAGTGATTGTTCTTGACATTTCAGGATGAGTATTGTTTTATTAGAGGCATTTGCGCACACGACGGAGAAACGGACGTATCTGACCAGTGTTCCGTGTGTACGCTTAGTCTCACACGATTCGAATGGAGTAAGAATTATGGTACGTTAATAGGGAATAAAACCTGTATAAGATACTTTCACCCGTTAATACCCTTAGTAATTAGAAGTCGAGAAAGAATATTTGTATTATGTGATGTCGATTAGATAGATCGTCTTGCGATATTTCAGTAGATCAAAACTAGAGAGACAATGCCTTCTTAAATACCTTACCATTATTTCATTTAAAAGCAAACTCAGTAATGCAACTTAGAAAATTATCTGATATTGTCTCAACTCTTTGGTTAGTGCCATCAGTTAAAAAATATAACCTTATCTTAATCATAACTTGTTTTAGATAACTGTCTAATTGGTGGACTTTGTGTGGCCAATAATTCTGTCAATACTCAAGACATGTGTTCTATATGTGATGTTGCTGTATCTACTGAAGCGTGGAGCCACAATCCAGGTAAATAATGTGAATTGTATAGGTAAATAATATCTATACATGTTCATTATGATATATAGTCTATAATTTATCAGCTACTAAAGCGCGGAGACATAATTCAGTTACAGGTTATAAATATACATAGGTTATATATATATAGATGGTTTTTTTCATAATTTTGCTGTATATACTCAAGCGTAGGGGTGTATTACAATTAAAAAATGTAGAAGCATGGAACCACGACCTAGGTAAAAATCTATAATTAGCATATATATCTATATGGCCTTTTGTGATGTTGCTGAATCTACTGAAACGCGAAGTCGCAACACTGGTAGAGAACACATGAAATGTTATACACATATATATAAAGTTGTTTTATCTACTAAAGCGTGGAGGCGTTATGCAGGAATACGTTATCGAAATCCAGGTATTTTAATGTATATGAATTTCTATATGACTGTATTGTTGCCGAATCAACTGAAGCCTGCAGCCACAATCCAAGTATAAGAGTTTTTAGAATCGTTCTGTATTTAACTTGGCTGTTATATCTTCTGAAGGGTGATATTATAAGGAATGTCAATGATGTTTATAAATGTTCTATCATATATACAAAGTTTTACTTATATTATTTACCTGCATAAGGCATTGACCAAAAAGAGCACTGAAATGTGTGTCTTTAACTGATATACTTTAAATCTGAATGTGTTGATTGTTGAATACCTTTAACATAAAGGATCAAAGTTAATACACCTACATTTAGGACGGACAGTATCGAGTGAAACGAGAACGCCATTAAAACGACAAAAATTACGTAACACATAGAAAACTGTTTTAGTTTTCAAATAAAACGTTTTCCATTTCTATCGAATAGAACGCTGTCTAACGCCACAATGCGATTACTAAACCTTAATGACGTTAGATGAATGTTAAATTCAACAAAAATATTTTGACTCTAAGTGCCTATATCTAATAATGAACTACATTGTATATATTATATGCGCATGCTTAACTTTTGTTATTGTTGTGCTCACGAAAAGGGTTCCACTTGAAGGATTTCTTTTTTCTTTTTCTTTTTTCTTTTTAAGTTTTGAACAGCTTAAGGCAACGGCGTGTAATGCAAATTAAGTTTTTAACATGGATTTAGTGAGCATACAACCCATATTGCTGATATGATATCGCAAAGCTGGCATTTTAAAATATCATCAGTTCTCTTAAGAGGGATCCATTTTTTTTTTTTTTTTTGTGCGAAAATCGTGATTTATTCGTTGAGATCTCTTCACCATAAAACGAGGGATCATGTTTGAAATATGTTAACAATACATCCCATAGGTGCTGGAGAACCTCACGGATCTGAATATAGATAAAACTTAATTTCGTTGTATATTTCTGTATTGCAGACTATTGCAGAATAGACGGTAAATGTGTTAGCCATAACACATCATCGGTCAATGACACGTGTTTGAAGTGTGACGTAGGATACTCACGTGATCAATGGACAAATAATTGTGGTAAGGCATCTTTTTTTAGGTTTAAGTATAAATTATATTGTGAATATTGTTCATTAGTCTAATCATTCGTTATAACAGATTTAAAGTCTTTTGTATAAAATTGAAATGGTGTTGTCTATTTTCATGTTTAATATATATAAATATAAATACGTACATAGTTGTCTATAACCAATACTTTATCAATTAAAACATTTTATGTTTTCTTGTTTTCATAATACAATACTATAGTCTACTTACTGATAGCTATTTTTTATTCAATTGTTGTATTTGAATTATAAAAATACATATTCAGCCTCCCGAACTGATCTTGCACTGTTCCTCTGTACCAATAAAATCCAATGAAACGTTGCTAGTTTTACCACTTGGTGAGTATAGATAGTGTCAGGTGATCGTTGCATGGACAGTCCATATTGGATCCAAATTTACAGGGTAACGTATTTATGACATAAAAGTATACAACTTCAACTGAAGGAATAATGCTGGCCAACCAAGGTAAGATAATTAGTGACTTTCTTTGAATTGTGAAATAATAAAATTAGAAAATGATAATTTTACAAAAAGGTCAACTATTTTGCAGAGTATTTCCAAACTGTCAGTGTTCTCTCGTATTTGGTATCGATTCCACACAAAGACGACTATAACATGTTTATATATTTCATTATCATAAGATTACCGATACATACTGTTATATAATAATTCCTCTAAAAAACGTGTCGTAGATCAGGCATATGAAGATATGAAATGACCCTAAGGAAAACTACGGTAGCAATAATCCACAGCACTGTCCATGCACAAAGTGGCATTCTCCCTAGAGAAGCTTGTCTATTGCAAACACGAAACATTAACAAATCAAATTATGGTAATTGAAAAATCGCAATGGCCAATGGAAAAGACACTAAAGGCAATATCTAGGTTATAAAGGTTGTCAGTTGCTTTATACAATATCACAAACTCCTATTCAAACACTAGTGAACATATTGAAAAAAACAATGATTACAATTCAATGTACAGGTGCTATATCCTTACTTCAGTGAAGAATCTTGATATTTTACTTTAGTAAATGTTGTAAAAATATTTTTTAAATATGTTTTAGAAATATGCTTTAATAGAAGTATTTTAAGATTTGCTTTCATAGTTAGAAAAAAACATGGGACTTATTCATTTCAGTTTTCACTCAGATATTTATGTATATATTTTCCAAGATCAAGAACCGCACATTGAAAAAAATTACAGGTCCCTACATTCTAGTGATCCCAAAAGTCAAAACATCCTTATTTTAAATCTTTAAGATTTATGGTCATGATGCGTAACGCATGCAATATTTTACAGCATTATTCCTTTTCACGTATTAAGAAAGAATTTATTTTATGTCCTACATAACTTCCAATATAACTTTACATATCTATGTATGTTTGACATTTTTTCATGTAAAATTCTTGATATAATTTTTTCTCGTTTATCAAATATGTATAGGTATTGGGAAAATATTATTTTATTGATGTAGGAAATAATCGTTTATTAAAATTTCTTTACATAAATTATCTTTACAGTGTCAACACAAACAACAAGGGAACAAGAAACTCCAAACACGACAGGCCAACACACAACACAAAAAACAACACAAAAACCAGAGATACAGGAGACACAACACCACCTCACAACACAAATAACAACACAAAAACCAGAGAAACACGAGACACAACACCACCTCACAACACAAATAACAACACAAAAACCAGAGAAACACGAGACACAACACCACCTCACAACACAAATAACAACACAAAAACCAGAGAAACACGAGACACAACACCAAGTCACAATAACCCAAACGACAAAAGTACATGTAACCTCGAAAGCACAGCACCAAACTAAAACAACACCTTATTCCGTTCACAATGTTACAATTGGTACTACACACAGCATTCAAGGCGAGACCGGAGAAGCGGACAAGGAAAGTGTCAAAAAGTCTATATCGAAAGCTTGGATAGCAGGGCCTATCATAGGATTTTTATTAATTGTCATGGTGATCGGTGCAATTTTATATCGGCGAGGAAAAAGGTATTTTTTCCACTATTCACTGAATGATTTCACAACATGATTATGTTTAACCAAAACGATTGATCGTTTTTCACAGTATTGAAATCTGTATTTGTTACTTGTATTTGTATTTCTCATTTACATATTTGTTGTTTCAGGAATGTGGACATAAACTATAAAGTAACCTATGTGGCGTCTGCGTCTTGAGAAGACTTTCAGATCAGGAATACAACAATGAACTAGCAAAGTCAAGACAGCGTTAACATTGTCGGCATAACTTATTTAAAATATGAATTAGGATAATTTCATTATAATGATATACTTAATATAAAATATTATATCATATTATATGCTTCATCCTCAGAATGGCTATGTCATATATCCAAGCCCCATAGGTATGCAAATAGTCTGATGGAAGGTAGAATAATGGGAACCTTCAGTCATTCAACCCTCCGCTAGGTCATAATGTCCATTTTTAATGACAAAAAAGATACATGTGAATGTAAAAGATAACCAATCATTACTTTGGTGAAATTAGTGACAGTAATAGATATGTCAACTATCGTTCCTTTGTATGTTGAGGATGGGAGAAAATATCACAGAATTATCTAATCTAGTAAAGGATAATACATTTTTATGAACACTGCATGTTATTTAATTCATGTCATCTGTCTCTGTACTTGATTACTTTATAAAAACCGAAAACATTACACAATACTATTGACTGGTTATTTTCTACGAGTAAAGTTAATTTTACTATCTGATATTGATTACCTGTCAATATACACCATAGATATTGTTCGTTAATAATTGTACGCATGTACGAATATGTCGCTGTTATGTTTTGAAATGATATTAAAATTGTTTATTTGATTGGTTGGTTTTTAATACTTTCTGAAGTATTGCCCGATGCACTGCTTTATGTTTATCTTTCATTACCTTTTGTTGTCGAGAATATTTAGCAATATGTCTTTAATTCATACAATGTAGCTATAACTGATTGAAAAAATGCAAAGTCTAGTCCACCTTACCTCAAAATTGCAATCAATATGCGGTTTTTTTTTAACATATTCTAAACAATATTTACCATCAACTTTAACGAAAATCCATTTGAGAGGGAATGCTTTGTTGTTACTGATTAGGCTTAAGCTAAATTTGGCAAGTGCAGGGAAGTGTTCTGATCCAAGTTAGCTATTGCTAGTCATCAATGTCTTGAGTGTGGTAGCTATTTCCGGCGACGCTAGTATGATATATAGGTGTGATGATTTCCCGGTTGTAATATTGTCCCTTATCAACAAATCATTACATGTAATACGTGAACAGTAGTATAAAAGATAGACACTTCTGATATCATCCTGTTTTTTTCCGCGATACCTTTGATCGACAGTGATATAATTTACTTTAACTAAGTGCTAGGCATTATATCGTTATGTTCAAACTGATGCAAATTGTATCTCATTGAAACGAAATAAGTGGAAATTCAACATCAAAGGATCGGGAGTCAGCGATACGTGTGTACATCTCGTAATCTGGATATACGCACGTGTTCGTAGTGGCAAGGTCCAGATATATACGCTGTTCTGAAATCATCTTATATATGTGAAAATTATGAAATTAAGTTAATTATGGGGCTACTGCACCTCCCCGTTTAGATTTTGACTTTTCTTTTGATCATTTTGGATCTCCCTCATTCGCCTCTGTGGCTTCAAAAGGTAGGCTCTTAGCATCACAAACGAGTCCTAGAAACAGCTGTATGATACAGTTTAATTCAATGTTTGGCTCTACTGTTTCTAACGTGAGAAATGGTGCTATTTACTTGTTTGCTTTTGTGTAATCTTTAAGGCCCCGCGGTTTGCCACATTTTCATTTGAATAGTGTTCACAATGTTCCGAATGGTTTGACATGAATATACTGGGTAAGTAGAAAATGTTCCTAATGGTATTTACATAGTCCATACTGGGAAAGTTCACAAGGTTCATTATGGATTTTATTTGGAATATACTGGGAAAATTCACATTGGTCCTTATGGTTTTAACAGGGACCAAACAGGATGACTTCGCAATGTTCTTTGTGGTTTTGTCATAGAGTATACTGTGTTATTTTTAAATGTACTGGACACTGTTTTCCTCACAGTATCTCGATCAGGTCATTTGTCTTCTTGGCTTGATAATTGAAAATTCATGATTACTTGCAGATCAACAACACTGCCTACGTAATATATCTTTAAGAACAGAAATAGCATTATCATGCTAAGTACATTTTAGAAGTATTTTTTATCAAAAGTTTTTAAGAAGTACATTCCTGGTCGCATCACAACGGCATAGAAAAGTCCCGACAAATTCTTGGTCACGTATGTGAAAACGATGAAGAGGCTTTGATAAAAACGATTATAAAAGTGAAAGCTGAGTTCGGCTTATAAAAAATATCTTAATATTAATAACAGCGACAAATTTAATAAATCATAGTTTGACATTTTATAATCGTTTCTTACATAAATGAAACATTAACACATGAATACAATATATTTTTTTATTGTCAACAATCGAGGGTTGCCATGATCCTAGTCATCCATCAAAAACTTCCTCAGTCAGCACCTGGAGGCATCCCCCCATTTCCAAATGGTTGCAGGTTCTGGGCTGAACAACATGTAAGAAAATACATTATTACAAGTTATATAGCAGTCCATGAAAGACTCAAAACAATCAACAGCCATACTGGAAAAGGATTTGTCATTATTGTTTAGATAGTTTTCTAATTAATCGTCTTCATAGACATTAGTTTTGGATATATTTACCGATATATTTCGAAACCTAATGATAAGGAGATAGAAGTTCTTGTCTTCATTGGTTTCGGTCTTGGAAGTGAGCATTTGTCTCGTAAGGAAAGTAGCGGGATCCGTGTACATGGAGTGAAGAACGAACAATGTTACATATATCTTACATTTACATTATGCACAATCTTAAGTTGATCATTAATACCATAAAAAAATAATAATCTCGTTAAAATACGACTTAGATAATCATCTTATTACGATTTATGTTGTTGTTATGACTTAATCTATCTCGTTATTACGACCTGTGTGATCGCGATATCACAACCAAAACTATTTCTTTATTACGATTTATGTTACCAAGTGTAATGAAGTGGGTTAATTTCATACACTATAAATAGAACATAAATACACTATCATCATACAGTATTATATACAGAGACAATATAACATATAACAACGAGATACAATTCAATACCCGAAATGACATATAATTCAATTATACATTTAACACTAAAGTATATCATGATACGATGTACGATATTTCAACACCAGAATGAAATGCATTGAAAAACACATTCATTGTGATAAAATGTAGCAGAAAATCTAACAGTGTCTTATGTTATACCAAATCGATTTTTCTAATGAGGCTTGTATTTTGCTTTCTTTCACGACTGTGCATATTCTGTTCAATACATGAAAAATACCTCGGAACACGAAGAGAGACCACATATGTCACCGTTAGAATATCTAAATAATCATATGCGACAAAATCATATTTATGGTGTTAAAAAAACTATATAAACCAACTATTCTGCTTATTATGATAAGTATGTGATCCTAGGCATACTTTATACAAAGCATGTTTAATTACTATAAAAAGAATCATTTGAAAAATGTAACTCTCCTTGCCATAATGGCGTAATTTATGATAACGAGATAACATAAGTCGGAATAACGAGATGACATAACGCATGATATCGAGAACTTTTTTATTCTTTATGGGATACATAGTGGCTGACTTAAAAAATAGGATACTTAAATGAAAAATAACAGGTTTCTACTTTTTTTTATTTTTTGTTTTACAAATATCATTTTATCATCACAGCATTCTAGGATATTGCCATACGTCTAAATACACCATCGGAAATCCTTGTACTACCTTCATTTATTATCCATAGAAGACACTGCAGATATCTCGAATAAGTTGTCATTATCACCCGAAAAATTCACGAAGCAGCAAAGAAATGAAGATGATAAACAACCGACACACAGAATGGTGGATTAATGATTTAGAAAGAGAAGTAGATATGTCAATTCATTATACATGATAGGCAGACAAGTACGTGGATAAAAGAATGACAACCAATAACTCGATATCATTCAATAACGTTAGAGTAAATCTTGGTTTTCTTAAAAAGCTTAACTGTTTCGGTTGAGCATGAGTTTCTCCTGAGATCATAGTCATTATATCCCTGAATTGTTGAATCTTGATATATGTTTATAAATTTCTCGATGTTGGTACGAGAGCCAATGTTCCAGAGACATCGTTACACTGTGTGCTGTAAATAGCATATACCTCCATGAAAAATGTAATGAAGGCAAATTATGAACCATGGCAATATTCAAATGTTTATGATGATGTAGAAATGGAGGTTCTGACCTGATTTAGTTATGCCTTATTTTGTACATCATAAGCAACAGGCTTATTCGAGCTTATCAGAAAAGTCGAAATTCAGACTCAAAAGATTACAAAATAGGAATAAGGTAACGATAAGCAACACATAATAATGAGGATGTTTTCTGCAAACATAAATGTTGTGCTAATGCATATAAAAAACGTAATGACATCTTCTTAATTACGTCTTATTGATTACAGAATCATGTCAAAGAGTTAAGTGAATTCTCATTGCTGTTTTTTATTTTAAATGCCTTCATATGTTTATGAAAATTATCACTTTCTTTCTTTTTCCTTACTTCATGATAATAAAAATATTATTTATGACATCTTAGAAATGTATTTATACCTCTGTCGAATTGATCGCTAATCAGGAGAATAGTGCAAGCATTCAGATAGAAGTTGCTACAAAAATAGTCTCAAGATATTTCTCTAATGTTTTTTATTGTCAGTATTTCGGGTATACTGTGACATTTAAACACTAAATCTTACATCCACAAGAAAGTGCATTATTTTCAAAATTTTGTATAAAATATTTAGTCTTTAAATTATCTTTTTTTCTTTTACTGATTTCTAGCGCAATGCACATGCCACTAATTCTACAGGACAAACAAAAATCGACTTTAAGTAGTAAAGAACGAATATAAATGAAATTTTCCAATAGTAATTGAAATCGTGTAAGACTGCTGATCCATTCCACTTTGGCTTAAAAAAACAAAAGGCAAAAGTGTTATAATCTGGACGGGATTCAAGAGATAA